TTATTATTTCAAATTTAAATAAAATAATATTGAATAAAATAATATTATTTTATTTAATATTATTTTATTATTATTTTATTTCTTAATAGTAATATTTATATGTAAGTACCCGCCTTACTAATATACCCGCCTTGCTAATAAGCACCACCATAGGTGGTGAGAGCTTCTGTAGCTGAATTACCTAATGGTGGGGCGTGGCACGAGTAGTAGGTCGAGTAATGTGGCATGTTGTTGTAGCATGGACAAGGCGAAGCGAAGATCGGGTCGGGCGGCTGCTCGCCACGGTAGATTGGCAGGTTTGTTGTTGACGGCGTGCACGTTGGCTGTGCTGGGGGCAGAGTGTTCAGTTGTGTTGGTTCTCAGATTGCATCTGGGCATGGTTTGGGCGGCTCTCCAAGACCGATTCGCTAGGCGCCCGTGGTCGACTGGCGATTGCGGGTTGCCATGAGATAACTAGATGGCTATTCTAGATAATTGGAGGAGACTCGTTGTCGGGCTGCGGGCTGCGAGTCTGATTCTTGTGTCCAGGGATCCAGGCCACGAAACTGCAGATCTCTTCCGCCTTGTCAGCCAGGGCGCAGATGCAGCGTGCAGGGAGGGTCAAATGTTTCAATGTCCTTGGACCAAGATTACATTAAAACAGTTGAAGTCTCTACCACCAAACGTACTCCGTACTTGGTTGAGCAGACCAGACCCCACCTCAAACGCCCTGGACTGGCCGGCTGGCTTCCCGTCTTTGTGCACATTGCGGTGCACATTGCGTTCACTCTTGGGCGCACGTCTCACGCGCCACGTCGGATTCAATGGATCAATATTGGATCTGACTGCCCAGTGACTGATCCGTACCGGGTGCACATCACTCTTGCGCAAGAAAGTGTACATTGTACGTACAGAGGATGGGCCACCAAGACTCGCATTTGGCTGCGCGTCTGATGGCCCCCGCGCCCATCGATGCATCAAATCCATCTCGCCATCGTCCGGCCAAGTGGGTGTCGTCAACCAGGCTGGCTCCAACCGTAGCTCGTAGTTTCTTGGCTTCTCGGTGGGCAACAAGGCCCAAGCAACCAAGGTCCCTCGCGTCTTATGTTTTCAAATGTTATGCATCCAACTGCATCTCACCTCACTTGTAGTTTCCAACCATTAACTAATCCGTTTCCTCCTTGTCCCCTCTTGTAGCAACGACCTTGCCAACTCTCTTTTGCTCCCTCTGCTCCCTCATCGCGTGTTGTTTACCGCAAGGCCTCCATTCTTGTCCATCTACACGAGCTCACCGCGGTCGAGTGTAGCTGGATTTCAACTCTCCGAGAGCTCGATACTACACGCATCTTGACGTACTCCGTACCTCCACGCAACCACACACTCCCCAGACGCCAGCCGAACCGCAAGCTACCGTCGAGAACCGCAAACCCAAGACCTCCCACCATCAATTCACATCCCACATGCGGTGCAGTGGTCGGCCGCCCTAGCATCCGCCTTTATCACGATGAAGGCCACGCCGCTCATCATCAATTGGCACGACCAAAACGCCCCTGTCTACTCGGCACACTTCGAGCCAGGTGGGAGGGGTCGTCTTGCTACTGCCGGTGGTGATAACCACGTTCGAATTTGGAAGGTTGAGTCCGATGGGCCGGAGCGAAAAGTCGAATACCTTTCGACCCTGTCCAAGCATAACCAAGCTGTAAATGTAGTTCGCTGGGCTCCAAAAGGTAAGCATTGGTGCATACTTGTCCACAGAACCGCAACGCGTCTTTCTTGGCAGCCTTGTCTAACGATTGCAATGCAAAGGCGAAACTCTCGCGTCCGCAGGTGACGACGGCAATGTCATTCTCTGGGTACCCAGCGAACTACCGCCCTCTAACTTTGGCGGAGACACACAGGACGACAAGGAATCATGGAGGGCGAAACACATGTGCCGTTCTAGTGGAGCAGAAATATATGACTTGGCCTGGTCTCCTGATGCCATGCACTTCATCATTGGAAGCATGGATAACATTGCTAGAATATACAATGCCAACTCCGGTAAATCGGTGGAATTCCACACCATGATGATGTACGGCGAAGCTAATGGTAGTCAACAGGAACTCTTGTGAGACAAATTGCCGAACATAGTCATTACGTCCAGGGCGTCACCTGGGATCCTTTAAACGAGTACATTGCCACACAGTCTTCCGATCGATCTGTCCATATTTACTCCCTCAAGACGAAAGACGGCCAGTATACGCTCAGTCACGATGACAAGCCTCCGCGTCTGGCTAGCCACATTAAGGCTGATTTGCCGCCTCGACGAATATCATCAAGCAGTCCTGCCCCTCCGGACTTTGGTCATCGGGCACAGCTTTCAATGGCAGAGTCGGCAACCTCTGTCGGCTCGCCTGTTCCTTCAGCGCCCGGCACTCCCACATCAATCCCGTTGCGGATGAATCCACCCAGTGTCGTGAGCCACAGCCGCAGATCGTCATTCTCTTCGCGGCGTTCCGTTTCCCCTGCCCCAACACTACCTCTTCCCGCCGTGATGCCCATGGAAGCCTCACCTAAGCCGCAGCTAGGCACCAAGAACGCGAGTCTTTACGCTAATGAGACATTGACGTCTTTCTTTCGCCGACTGACGTTTACCCCCGACGGCAGTCTGCTGCTAACGCCATCGGGCCAGTATCAAACTCAGCACCAATCAGAAAAGGATTCCAAACCGACCTACGAAGTCATTAATACCGTGTATATCTACACTCGAGGTGGTATCAACAAGCCCCCAATTGCCCATCTGCCAGGCCACAAGAAGCCTTCTGTCGTGGTCAAATGTTCTCCTGTATACTACACACTGCGTCCATCGCCTCCTGCTACGATGCATATCACCATCGACACTTCGTCAGCTGAAGAGCAGTTGCCCTCGTTACCAGAGCCCGTCTCCAAGTCATCTCCTGGTGCTGCGGTAATGGAACCACCACCGCCCCCAGCGAGTGTTTCATCTGAGAACAGTGCTTCCCACTCGAAGCCTCTGAGTGTAGACACCGACGCATCGACGCCTGGTCCAAAGCCAGCCTTTTCCCTTCCATACCGTATGGTGTACGCCGTTGCAACCCAAGATTCAGTGTTATTATACGACACTCAGCAAAAGACGCCAATTTGTGTTGTGAGCAATTTGCATTGCGCTACCTTTACTGACTTGGCCTGGTAAAAAGCTCTCAAGACCCCCGACATCTTGACTTCATTGACTAACGTGGCTCAGGTCGAGTGATGGCCTTACCTTGGTGATTTCATCGTCGGACGGATTCTGTTCAACTCTGTCGTTTGCAAGCGGGGAGTTGGGAGAAATTTACAAGGGGGAAGTTGGACCTCCAAAGCCTACAGCGGCTTCATCTACCATGGCCTCAAATCAAAACACACCAACCCCCACGCCCACAACGAGCTTCGCACCTCCGTCTCCTTTCCCAAATGGGTCTCATCACCAACACCGAAACTCATCTAGTTCATTCACAGCTCCATCACCGCCGGCCACAGCGCCTGCCGGATCACAACGACCAGCGTCGCCTACACGCTCCAACTCCACATCGTCAATTGCAACACAGTCCTCGTCAGTTCCTACGGGCGTTGTGAGCAATCCGCCTCTTATTGCAGGCAGTGTCCCAGCCTTAACGGCAACCAATTCTTCCAAGGCCCAAGGCGTCCCCATCACAACCCCACCCGAAACGCCTAGAAGTGCTGCCGGAAGCATTGTGGGCACGAAGCGCGATGCTAGCGAAAGTGAAAAGGAAGAGATCAAGGAGCCAAAGAAGAGACGAATTGCGCCAACGCCTGTGGAAAAGCTGTAAAGAGTGTACAATAGGATGGGATTCAATCTGAGTTTTTCGAGGTGATAGGAAAGTTGGGCATGACAAGCTTCTGTACACGAGAACACGAAGGCATAGCAAGAGTTTTTGTACATGCATGAATTGGCGTTTGCGATTACGGACTGGGAAGGCGGTTTGAAATCTTGCGGCTTATTGTACTGTATCTTGCTATTTGATTTGTAAAGGCCGGGTGAAAATTTGAACTCTCGTTTGGGGAATCTTTTTTTTGGTAATAATATACCGATACGAGATACTATACCACTTGAAGAAAAAAAAGCAAAGTTCCATAGGGCCTGGTGCTGGGGCGCCTTCATTTCATGACTCATGGCAGTTCTCGTAAGTCATGCCATGTATACAGCTAATTCAACACTGGCAGCCAGCCCTTTCTTCGTACGAAACCTTGAACATCCTCGTCACGCATGACATCCTCGCATGTTCGGGCAGTCACAACACTACGTTCGTGTTCGACGCCTCGTACGTAAAAAGGAAAGCTTAGCCTCTGCATTGCGTCTTTTTCGCCCTTTGTGTCAGATGTGGAGGCGGAAGAAGCTGACGTAGATGGAAGCTGCCAAACAGTCTTGCCCCCTTCCAACCGTTCCTGGAACCCACATGCTTTTCTATCTAGCGAGAGATACCATTTCCTCTGGTGAATGCTACCAATGGTATTGGAAGCGCCTGGGTAGGCATTTGTTCGTCGAATCTCTGCGTCTTCCAGTTCCTGCAGCTCTGTCTCTAGAGCGGACACCGCTTGCCCGCCGGCTTCTCTACCTTTCGGAGCGAGGGTATTTCCCTCCTCATCCTCATCATCAGCAGCATCCGTAACGTCATCAGACTCGGAACTCGTCTCCGGGTCGGCTCGTTTCACTCTCCTGCGCTTGCTCCTCGGCGCCCTGCTGCTTTTTGCCCTGCCCTCCGCGTCCTCCCTCTTCGTGAGCCTTATATTCAAAACGTATGTCTCTGGCAACTTGGACCCGTGCAACTGAAGCCGTATCTTGCGGCTGTGAAACGCCGCCTCTAGTAGCTCCTGCTGCGAGCGCTCCTCGTCCTCTGGACTCGGCTGGGACGAAGGATCTGTTCTAGGCGCATGCTTACTCCTCCTTGGGAGAACGGTGTAAGTCCCCGTGTCCCAGATTAATAGGGAGCCCGTTTGTGGGGATGCAGTTTCGATGAGGTGGTTCCAGAGTGAATGGATACGCGTTTCGGTGGCGTTGCGATTGAGACGGACGCTGTTTGGGTCTCCGGGGGGCCCGTACATTATGGCCCAGGATACACTACTGCTGGGGTTGATTTGCAGACGTAGGTCGTAGTGTAGGCCGGCGATGGGGTGGTCGTGTTGGTGGATGACGAAGTGGGAGGATTGGCTCGTGAGGGAGCCTGCGTAGAGGGAAGCGTAGCTTCCGATGGGGAGGAGCGGAGTTGGGGAGGGGAGGATGTGGTTTTCTAGATGCGCTGCGAAGTGGGCGAGGGGGTTGGTGGTGTGGGCTTTGCCGGATTCTATTGCTGCCGTTGTGGGTGGCGATGGTTTATTGTTGTTGGTGGTCGTGTTGGATTTTGGAGATGATGGGGCGTTTTGGGGAGAGGAAGAGGACGGGATCGGGGAATGGGGCGGAGAGAGGGTCCACTGGAGATTGCGCTTCTTGATGAATGGGTTTGGGATGAGGTCTGCGGGCTGTTTGGCTGCCATTGGGAGGGTTATCAACTTGTGTGGGCGATTTCATAGTGATTGTGTCCACTGTCTACATGAAGTTGGGTTAGTACCTGGTGATATCTGATGGCGAGTTGGCTGTGGATAGTTCAGAAGGAGCGTAGAAGAAGAATTGCGATACTATATGCAGCCAAAAGAATGGAAAATTGAGGTATAGTTCAGAGGACAGCAGCTGTAAATGGTGCGAGTGTGGTGTTGAGGTGGTTTGAATTATGTAAGCCATTGGTGTTTTAGGTATTGAGATGGCTGCTTTCGCCACCACGTGGAAACTCATCATGTCTCTCCTCCACGCTTTAGAGTATTGATAGTATTATTACACACACTATTTTTTTTTTCCCCAGGTCGCGGGCACTTTGACACCTACGTAGCCCTCTATGCCTACCTAGGTAGTCCTCACATGCCTCTCAGCACGTGACATGGTTAATACAGAACAAGAACGAAATTTGTTTAGTGAGAAAAAGTGAGAAGCCGCTCTTTTGGCAGGCGCAGCTGGGTTGGGCAAGTTGCAGGCGTGGATGCCCTCACGGCATGCATCAGCGGTGCGAGCATGCTGAACGAGCCACCGAGTCTTCATCCACCGGCAGCAGGCACCGACGGCCAGGCCGGAGCCACGGCCAAACTGGTCAATTGGTGTGAGTGAAGATGCCGAGGCACAGAATCAATGGAGCAACGTGAGCGGCCAGAGGCCTCATATGCTCCACTATTCCTTTCACCGCGGCTCGGTGGCAGCAGCCAAGTCCAAGTCCAAGTCTTGTCCCCACATCTTCACAAGTCAAACCCAGCGTCAAGCCTTTTCACCCCAGATTTCCTTATACCATCATTGAAATCCACCCTTTGTCTCCCCTCACCCCCATCCTTGGCCTCGCCGAAGCATCGCGTCCATCCTTCCGTTTGCGAGTGGATTTTCCTCCTTTCCGCTCACAAGTCTGGCCAGTTTTGCCTCCGTCTTGTCAATTCTGCCATCTCTTGCATATTGGGAGCGCGTTGAGTTTGTCTTCGGTTCGCTCCGAAGTCGCCTCGGAGCTCGCCAGAGGCAAAGAAAGGCCTTGACGTAGCCTGCGACACACTCGGCCCTTTGTGTTTCCCAGCTCAACTCGGGATACACCTGCCTTTTCCTTTCTACTCTCCTTAATCACATAATCTGCGACGATGGCTTCGCCCCCCAAGCCTTGGGAGAGACCTGGCGCTTCTGCGGCTACCTCCAGTACGTCTTTGTCGTCTTTGACGCCCGCTGCTTTCTGACATTCACATGCTAACCATATCTTCGCCAAAAGCTCCTATACCCTCTACCACAGCCGCATCACCAGCCGTTGCTGCGAGCACTGCTACCGCTTCTTCTGCCGCTCCTCCCGTTCCCGATCGCCCTTCTTCCCTCACCTCCGCCGTGAATCAGAATGCCTCAGCCTACAGCCGCGCAGGCGCCATGGGCATGGGCGCCTCACCATACAGTGCCTATGGCAGTACGTATTCATCACCGTACTCAAGTCCGTACTCGCGGTTTGGCGGCATGGGTGGATATGGCGGCGGCATGTATGGCGGATATGGAGGCTACGGCGGTGGCATGTACGGGGGAATGTATGGCGGCGGCATGGGCCCCAACGACCCCAACAGCTTAACCAATCGGTTTAGCAATGGAACCGCAGCTACCTTCCAGATGTTGGAGGGTATCGTAACCGCCTTTGGCGGATTCGCCCAAATGCTTGAGAGCACATACATGGCTACTCACTCAAGCTTCTTTGGTACGCTCACCTCAACCGTCTCTCACCCTCATCTTTGATACCACGTCACTGACTCGACCACAGCCATGGTATCAGTCGCCGAGCAGTTCGGCAACCTTCGCGACACTCTAGGCTCCATTCTTGGCATCTTCACCCTCATACGCTGGATCCGCACGCTCATCGCCAAAATCACGGGTCGGCCACCCCCAGCAGACGCAACCGCTCTCACACCCGCCGCCTTTGCCCGCTTCGAAGGCCGCGCTGGCCCTGATGGCACCTCCGGTGCCGCCAAGGCTTCTCGTAAGCCTTTGTTCTTCTTTCTCGCCGCAGCATTCGGTATCCCCTATCTTATGTCCAAGATGATCCGCACCCTGGCCGCCTCTCAAGAAGAGGAGGAGCGCCGCCTACAGCAACAGGCTCTCGAAGCACAACAACCTGTTGACCCGTCCAAGCTCGAATTCTGTCGCCTCATGTACGACTACCTCCCCCAGGGCAACAACACGTCCATGGAACTCGAAGCACGAAAAGGCGATCTCGTTGCCGTCCTCGCAAAACACGATCCCGCAGGCAACCCTAGCGAATGGTGGCAATGCCGTTCTCGCGATGGCCGCCAGGGCTACCTACCCTCCACTTATCTCGAGGTGCTGAAGCGTCCCGGCCAAGAAGTCAAGGCGATCAAGGCCGCGTCTAGTGACTCTAGCAGAGCAAACTCGATTACGACTGCGTCTGAGAGCCTGCAGGAGGGCAAGAAGGAGTATGCTACTGCTGATGGGATGCAGCGAAGCCATTTTTACTCGTAAAGGGCCAGGGAGTTGAATGGAAAATTCCATGCATTGTTACATCTTTTCATTTCTGTGTCCAAGGGCACGTATATATGGGCATTTGGGTATGATACGGTTTCGCAGGTTGTTTTAGGGACGTTTGTTCTCATATAGTCTACTGTTGAGCGCGGGCAAGCGTTCATGTATCAAGGTAAATACAACACGTCATAATGAATACAGCTAGCCTTGTTACCATGTACCTTGATGCAAATGTGGTTGTTCAATTTATATCATCTACTGCTGAGTACGCAAGCATGAGTCACTTTGTTATCTACGGCATTCAATACCGTGCTTTCAGGCTAGCATTATACCCCCCCTAACATATCAAACCATGTATGCGATAAGAGCCAACAGATTCATTACATCATCAGTCGTTAGATAAGCCGCATCATGTGTATAAACCTCATCGCAACTCGCCCTCTCATCAATCCGCAACCCCCTCACGGCCACCTCGCCTCTTCAAGCCCGCAACATACCTTTTAAAGCTCGAGCTCATCTACAACAGCCTCCAAGTGGCTCGCCCGTATAGTGCTGACTTCATCCCCTTCATCCTCAGTCTCGCTCTCCGCCAATGCCAACGCCGTCTGCATCGCGTTCCGAATCTCCCACCCGTTCAACCTTAGCACCTGAACGTCCGCATGATGAAAGACCTAGTCTCTCGCCGCTGCAGAAACATGGATCTTGCCGTCTGAATCGCGCGCAAGTCTCTCGAAGCTATGTGCCCAGATGCGCTCCCGGTTCTCGTTGCTGAGGTTCTTATAGTGCAGCGCGACATGAATCCGGCTGAGGAACGCGGCGTCGAACGACTGTACCCGGTTGGTGGTGAGGAACAGCACGCCGCGGTGTATTCGAGTGCGCGGAGGACACCAGGCCGTTGCGGGCAACGTCGCTGGCGGTCCGGTGCTCAAGGTAGACGTCGGCCTCGTCGAGGAGGACGAGCGCACCGTAGCGCTGGCCCAGCGCGAGGAAGTAGGCCAGGCTCCCCTCCACGTCGTCGAGGGAGCTGAGGAGGTCGCCGGATGTGAGGGCCATGAGGGGCCGGTTGGCGAGCCCGGCGATGCATTCTGCCGTTGAGGTTTTGCCGACGCCTGGCTGGCCGTGGAGGAGGAAGATGCGGCCTTTGCCTTTGTTCTTGATAAAGTCGTTTCACCAAGGGGAGAGCTTGTTGTCGACAGGTGGCGAAGCGGCTGATCAGGGCTTTGACGGTGCGCTTCATCTTGTCGTCTAGGACGAGGTACTTGAATGCTTCTTTGTCCTGTTTGACGTCCAGAGATTGGAGATTTGGAAGGTGCCCCAGCGGCGGGAGGCCATTATGAGGCCGGGTACGAGTCCGCTGCACACGAGATAGAAGAGGGCGGTTGTGGGCGTTTCGTGGATGTCAGGGGTGAGCGGTTTGAACTCATGGAATATGACTTTTTCAGGGTAATTTCCTCGGTTGGACATGCAATGACGGCAGGCACAACGAGGGCGAGCCTGTGGAAGTCGATTCAAGTCCCATTGGTCCTTTGGAGGTGGTGATCTTGGACGTGTTGGTCTTGATTGGCATTGCGGTTGCTGCTTCTTGTCTGGGCAGTATTCTTCAAACCCAGACGAGTCGCAAATGACACGTCCTGATACGAGTCCCTTCTGAGTATCCTTGATTTGTATGCCTTCGCCGACAAGCTCACCGTCGTATTGCTTGGAGGTGGGCTCTTTGAGAAGCTCCCAAAGCAATTTCCCTTCTTCGATGAGCTTCTTGCGCAAGGGCACTCTTGGCTTCTTTCCATCCTGGCCTTGCAGGTCGTCCGTCCAATATTCTTCAGGGACCACTGCGAGGCTAGTGATTGGGACTTCACCCTCCCACGTCTCTTCCGAGAACTTGGTAAATACCCTGGCAAGGGTGTTGCCACGCGCTCGGACAAACCATGCATATACGTCGTATCCTCCGTCCGTCACCCTCGGGCCTTTGATGCCGCTGACAATGTAGGCGGACCACGTCCCGTGCATTTTGGCATAGACGACCTGGCCGGGCTTGAACAAGGTCCAACACCACTCATGCGTAGTGACTGGATTGTCAAGTTTGTGCCGGGCTTCTTTCTCACGGAAGTCGGCCCCAAAAGTGGCATCTAGAAACTGCAGCAGCACATCAATGTGGTGAGATGTAGTCGCCTTGTATACCTCGTCGTGTTTCGATGGCTGGTTACTGCTGTAAGCAGCAAGCTCCCGCCAATGATGGTACAATGCATAATACGGTGCGTTAATGGTTACTGGCGAGGTTTGGAGATGAAAGCCCGGATAGTGTGCTACCACAGCCTTTAGGGCGTCTGTGAGGTACTTTGAGTGTATGATGATGTGTGAACGATTTCCGTAGAAATCATTGGCTTCGTGGCTACCGTAATTGACCCCGTTGTGTACGATTGGAGGCAATGGCGGTGGCGGCGGCGAGATCGACGGACGTACGTTGTGCGTACCAGGTTGAGAGATGGCCGGGGTTTCTGGTCTTTCAGTAGAGATTTTTTTGACGACCTTAACGACCGATTGTTCGCCTGACAAGCCCTGATCTTGAAAGCAATCCGACTGTCCGACTGTCCAGCCTGTTTGTCAAAGGCCTTGTCGCTTTGGAGGTCTATATTATTGCATCAGTGGAGCCCTTCTGGACGGTATGAAAGGAATATATGCTCTTATGGCCTATGACTTGGTTTCGCATGTCTAGTAAATGGAGTGAGTAGACAACGTCAGGGACCTTGCCGTCTATTTTTAGTATGAAAGGCTTCTTCGATGTCTATCCTGCCAACCCCGTCCGAGTCGGCGCTGGAGACAGATTCGACATCTTGAACATCAACCCTGACTGCGGGCATTTTGGAAACGCTAGATGAGGAAATAATATCATGGAGCAAAACCACGGGACGAGTGAAACTCTCCCTTGCGTTGGGAGAAATGGTGATGGATTTAGATGATGAAAATATATGACGGCGAGGGGAAAGAAGGAAGCGCTTGAATATATACCCACGCAAGATAACGCACAGAAATAAACGAATTCAAGTTATGGATGGTAGAGCGATGCATGGCAAGACAGTGTTGCGGTTAATTCCATTGCAACTCTAATACCACAGGGTGGCAGGGCGGGCTTTACGACTTGAGGGGGTGGTGATCACTGGTGATCACTGATGAGGCGTTTTCTGGTCATGTCTGACCCAATCGACTTGAACACGTACATGTATGTGTTTCGTCCCTGCTCCCGCCCCCATTGGGAGTATTGGGATAGAGATTTGCTGATCGAGTTGGTCTTGGTCATTAAGTACGACCCCAAGTCTAACAATCCTGCCGGCAGGCGAGGCATGTCACCTCCGCCCGCATGAAGTGTGGCTGACGACCAGGACTCGACGGAATATGATACTTGGCTGGCTGTAAATATATATATGTGTTGATAAGACAACCTATCCCCATACCGTGCAAGCACTGCATTAGGTAGGGTCCAATGAATTAAACACCCGTGTGCCTCGTCATACCTAAGCAAGAGAACTGTGACATACTAAACATAATATAAACGCGTCGCGATGCGTCAAAAGCTTTGATTCATGGCAGAGGCATAGCGCGGCACCGCTGCGCTCCGGCAGTCTCGTGCTTGGTCCATCCGGTACAACCATTTAAGATGTGCCGTGCGGCGGCCAGATTTGATTAACATCTGTTCAATGGACTACAATTATGAGGCGACACTGGTCTGTTGGTTGGTCCAGCAGCTACATCGGGTTGCACGAAGGCATCCAGTCAGTAGAGTGGTCAGATCTCCAACTTGCAGCACCGTCTTCGTAATCGTCGCATGCATCTAGCTACACATGAGTATCACAGAGTGTCTCCTGGAAGCAATGCAGCCGAGCCAGCCGAGCAGCTGAGCCATTGGTATGACATATGACGCCAGCAAGTCTGGGATATTGACGAAGCAGCATCCATATTGTATTTCTTTGGGCTTCACGTACCGTTGAAGCCATGTAGAAGTGATCTTTTCTGCTCATTGCAATTTTTATGCTGAAACGAAGATCGCTAGAGATTGAAAAGAATGTGTGGCAGATAAGATCTCGTTGAATTAGTGTTACGTTAATTAATGATCAAAGTTACCTCATGGCGGTGAGAGTCTTACTCATACTGCCGTGAAGGCTGCCATCATTTTTCACCATCGTCATGTATGCTTCCGACAGGCGGACGAGTGGGATGGAATTTCGGATGATATGTAATTCACAGTGCCTTTCTCCGTGTCGATGATATAAAAGCAGTTGTTCTCTCCACTCCCCCGACACACCTCTCATCTCATTTTCTTTAAATCTAGCCGGCTCATCACCATGACAAAAATGCATGGGGTCGGACATCAAGATTTGCGTCCCTCAAGGCTGTATGTGCTGGAGGTGAATTGGGACGGATTGGAGGCAGTGAGTGCTTGGATTATGACCCTTGAGACAGTTCATCGGTTCATCTGCCTAGTAAAGAACAAAATTATACTCAATGTACCGCACCGCAGTCTCAAAATCAGGAGGTGATCTTGCACCAGGTGGAGGAATAGCAAGCCTGGAGGACCCGGAGAGACTGATGATGGGCACTGACTTCAAGGTGACTATCCATGGCGAGGACAGCAGATGGCGCGGATGAAGGGGGTGCCCTCTTCTCCCATCCGGTTCGGGAACACGCTATTTGAATGGCAGGTAACCAATACAGTGGTTGGCTTGGCAATAGACAGACTGATTTGAGAGATATTCTCAAAGGGGGTAGCTCGCAGCGGCGGTCGCAGGCAGGTAGCTAGTGACAGCCTTTAGTCATCCAGAATCGTCGGGCTCTAATCTGAGTGGGAAATAGGGATGCTGAGCGGGGAAGCGATAAACGTCTAGGCGGGCTAAAGAGGGTTTGGCATCTTGAGATACTTGGTCTCGGAGTGCAAACCAGGTCATGTAACCTTTCTCATAATATGTTTGGTAAACATCGTCTCCTGGCCGAAGCGCGTCATCCTCCATCAGATTATTTTGGCCTGCGTATAGTGCCGTCGTTGTTTCGTTTCGTCACGGTTTGCAGGAATAGGGCTGACTCATAATAGTCAATATCTGTAACAACTGGAGTTACTCGATTGTGGAACCACGTCCACGACCTACACCAACCGAAACTCGAAACTCTGTCGTGGGCTTTCCTCGCTGGCTGTCAAAGTGTCTGACGATAATACAATGTGTTGACTCCGAATGTGAAAGATGCTGAGTGAGGAGTGGATGTAACCTGAGGCCCTTTGAATTCTATTGATGTGTAGGAACTGTTGTGTAGCCACTGGTTGCGAGAGTTGGTAGGTTGTTAGCAAAAGCGCCCATTCTCATGCTGTAGTTCCGCACCATCATCAAAGCTAATTGATCTGTCCCTGAACGGACGGCTGCCTATCAACGACTCTAAATCACGGTCGCCTGATTACTTTTAGACCTGTTTCCTTCAATGACCAGCCATAGTCAAACATCGTGGAGCTCGATGCAAGGATACCTGGGCGGACGATACCGCCGTACAGGGAGCCAAGTTCCTTATTTGTTAGTCTGCGCATACGACAGGCATGTCAAGTCTTGCTCATGAGGCTGTGCTTCTGGCTGTTGACGCAACATTGCTGGCGTGTGCGAGGAGAAACTTGCAACATGTGAGAGTAAGCTTGCAAGCCTTTGTCCAACCATCGTCTTGCGCGATTCCCAGCTTGATGCTCACTTCTCCAATCTTATCACCCTCAATTTTGTACGGGAGGGACAGGGCATTTAGTGACTGCTGAGTCTGCCGTTGTACGTGTGCGCCCAACTGCCTCACCAACTCGAGAAATGCAACCATGGCATTATCAAATTTGCGGTGCATGAATGTAAGACCTAATGGCATGTCTCCGGAGCTGTATAGCTCTAAGACGTGCTTCTTTGGAGGTGCTTGCATAGATCGAGAGCCAAGGCGACTCGAAGATGGGCTAGGAACGTCGTATCGAATGATCTTGGACGTGCTTCCCATCGGTTGCGGATCGTATCCGTGGAATTTGTAGTCAAGCTTCTCAGCTACGGTAACGAGTAGCAGCAGGGCGTGACCCCAGGCTGCGTTGATCTCCGGCCAGTCCACGGGCTTATTGGACAGCCTTCCAAGTCTTAGCCCGTTTATGGTAGCAAAACTTCCATCATGGCTGATGCAAAACGTGTCGTTATAAACATTTGACCGCTGAAGCTTTTCAAGGAGCTGGGAGTCGTGGCTGTATTTGGCGTTAATGCTGTCTCGCTCTGAATGGAAGTCAGACATCTTCGCAGCGAAGGCGTTCCGTCCCCTCCAAAAGATCTCCTCCTCTTTATCTAGCTGGCGGGATTCTTCTTCAAGGGCTAATATCTCTTCGTCGAGAGCATCCTTTTCCTTTTCCAGCCGTCGTAACTCATCCATGGCAGCGGCTCTATCCTTTTCGGCCTTTTGGAGCCGCTCCTGACGAGCCTTTATCTCATCCGCACTGGGGCGTTCAGTCTTTACTTGCCTGAGGTGCCGTACATATGCATCACGCTCCTTAGATGAAGCCTCCAGCTTGCTTTGCAATCCATCAATTAACAAATCTGTACATTCGACGCAAACGGGGTGGTCGATATCGGATCTTGCGGAAAGAATTTCAAACAGTCTATTGATTCTATCCATATCGTCACCTCGTGAGGACTGTTGGCTGGTGGAAATCGACTCTTGCGTGGAGCTTGGCCTTCTGGCCGGCGCCGGGGCAGCTGCCGGTAACTCCTTGACGGGCGGTTGTGGATGGCCAACTTGAGACTCGGTCAAGTAGATAAATGACATAGTTGAGTCCCGTGGGTGGCCGCCATGATATCTTTTGAAGGTCGGCTGGCCCGAATTTTGCGACACCCGATCGTAAAGAGACCTTCTGGTTTGTTCTTGGGATTGCAATAGAGAAGGAGGATGATCTGCTTGGCGCTTCGCAGATTGTTGCGCTGTTGCTGCTGGAGGGCAATAGACGGTCAGCACTCTGCTGAGTGAAGGACAGGCTAACCTTACATATAAGCAGATCGTAAGCGGCTGGATTGAGGCCCTCGAGGGACCCGTCCAGCTTTAGTGGCTGCCGACACTTTTGGCAGAACATGACGGTGGAAGGCGAGAGGCTACAAGACCGCGACGAGCTTGTGACGGTGAGGACTCGAAAGAGATGCTATGTAAGTACTGTGATTTAACACTGGTCTTTCAAAATAACGCGCTGAAACGATGGGACGAACGCCGAAGACCAGAAGATGCTGTATGGTAGCAAATCTTGAGATGAATATCGACGTCAGGTGCATGGTGCCTCAACAAATAATACAGTGGGCTGGGATCGGCGCCCCACAGGTGTAGCCTTGGAGGTGTTCTGGTAGGCGATGTTGGTGGCGTCACTGGGTCGACTGGGGAGGTCTATCCGTGGCTGACATGGAAGGGAAGGTACAAAGTACGGAGTACCTGCCTAGCTGTTGCTCTGGAGCTCTCGCTTGCCACTTAACGCGCGCCATCCGACTCCACGACGCGTTGAACCAAGACTGGATTCGACGCAAGATTGATTTCTTGGCTAAGAGGCCAGACCCTCTTCACTCAACGCTGACATCGCCAACCTGCACTCTCATAGCGGGAGGTTTGATCATTCTTCTGTGCTCCAATTCTGGACATTGGCACTCTGACCACACACCACATGGGTTGCACAATCACTACAGCGTGCCATGATGGAACCCCCGGTCAAGCGGCGGCGACTGGGCGAGCATCCTCAGTTATGGGATGACGACGCGGATGGAGATGATGAGGAATGGGAGGAGTATGATGAAGACGATGACAAGGATAATGGAGAGGCGGCTCCAGAGCAACGGGAAGGCTCCGTTGAGCAGGATGACGGCTACCAGCTTGCTATTGAAAAAGCTTATGCCGACAATCGATTTCGAGCTACCATGGTCCATATTTTTAGAAAATATGGTCGCGACTTCGAGGGGATTGGCGATGAGATTGACCTGTCCACCGGAGAAATCGTTGTCAATAACGGGCACATTGAAAACATGCGCAATGAGGTCGATGTGGGAGATGTTCCTAGAAGCCACAACGGAGACACTGACGACGACGACGACCACCACCACCACCACCACGAGGAGGAGGAGGAGGAGGAGGAGGAGGATTATGATAATGATGATGATGGAATTTTACTAGAGGATCTTCCAGACGACGAGAGCGGCCAATATTACTCCCGTAAACAAGGAGCTTGTGACTCCTTGGAGGACGACGACGCGAGCCAATGTTGGACGAGCGATGCTGACGATGCCGAACCCACACCAGGCAATATGCAGCTCCAAAGGTTGCAGCAGTCATTCAGCCCGGATTCTGTCGACGCAATACCTGGATACAACCCAAAAAATAATGGGGGCTCAGGCCTGATGTCGGGACTTTATGGCGGCGGAGGTTTGCGGTATGCCTCAGCTTTGGGCGAGTTCGGAGCATCACCCCTTGCTCTGGGGCCGTGGGACATGTTACCTCAAGCGCAGGAACGATATGAATTTCCCAAACAGGATGGTTCCAGTTCGATTTGGGCTCCTGATTACCGCTTTAACGACAACGAACCTGACCAGCGTCCCTCCGTGAGAGCACGATTAGGCCCGTCAAGGATGAGACCGAAAGCTAAAAAGCCTAAGGCTCTCTCCCTCCCATGGGTTGGAAATGGGGAAGTAGTACCTGGAGGATCACATAAACGACCGGGAGATGTGCCTGAACAACACTACCATAACTCTTCGAACAGGAAGCAAATGATGCCTTTGGGGAACCTATCTTGGGTCGAGACCATGGAGGAAAGTGATACAATTGATGACGCCGTATTCTCAGCAGAAGAAGTACCCATGTCTTCGGACACAGGAGATACGACCGACGATGTGCCACAGCCGAAGCCGAATACTGCGTCAGAACCAACACTGAGAATTATACCTGATTCCCAGGATTCGTATGCTTCTCTAGGCAATCAACCCACACAATCCAGTGCCAAATCAAAACCACCACAGCCTCATGAGCCCAAACATCGAGATTTCAACTCCGCCTGTGTGCTCTCAGATGATGAATCACCCTTGTATTCGTCACTATTGGGATCGAGTAGTACCACTGATCCCACGAAATCCGCCAGGGCACTTTCAAACGCGAGTGCTGTCCCGGCCTCTGATGTTAATGCTGACGGGACAGTAGTTAAACGGGGGCGAGGAAGACCTAGGAAATATCCTCCTGGCTATCGGCCTCCTCGAACCTATCAAAGGAAACCCAAAGCCCCCTTACCAGAACTACCTGGCTTGACAAGACCTCTTACTGTGCCAACAATGTCGAATATGTCATTTGTGCCCACAATGACAACAGCACCAACGATACAGCCAACGACACAGCCAATTATGCAGCAGACGGTACAGCCAACGATACAGCCAAATATGCAGCCAAAAACACAACAAATTCGAACGGAAACGGTTCCAGGTGTGAAAAGAAAGAGAGGTCGGCCTAGAAAATACCCTCTTCCCGGGACCATGCCTCAGCAGACTCCGAAGAGTCCCACTGAGAAGCAATCTCAACAACCGGCCAGCCAGGGGCCTTTTCCTCACACCTTTCAGCCTGGATTTCAGCAGCAAGGGTTTCAATATCCGTTTAACCCCCTGTTCCAGCAACCTCTGTTTCAGTTTCCTCAGCAAACGGCTTACCAGCCATGGCATTCTTTGCAGCAGTCATATATTCAGCATCCTATCTTCCAATTTCAGCAACAAATCGCCCAGCAGCCGATGCAACAGCTCTGGCAACAACCTATGGTACCATACCGCTCAGCTCAATCACAGTCACCATCTCAACCGGTAAAGAAAAAACGAGGACGACCGAGAAAATACCCTGTCAAGTTTGACTCTGTGTACCCTGGCTATGTAATGAACCGGAAAAGAAGTGCCTCTAAGAAAATTTATGAAGGGTTGCCATCGCACCAACAACTACCCGGTCTGCAAAATAGCATGACTGCTCTTCTAAGTGGACAGTCAGGCCGTATGATGATATCCGAGGACGCATGGTATGGTGTTGCCCGGCAGCTGGCACAAGACATCGCCTGTCTTCAAGGGGGTTCACTTTTCAGCAGCCAGTTTCAAGCTGGGCCCTCGTCCTCTATCAAGAAAACTTCTCAGTCATCGTCAAAGAAGGCTGGGCAGCCTGAACCTGGCTCCTCTACATCCCCGGAAGCAGACGACGAACCGGTACGTATCACGGAATTATCAGAATTTAGTGACATTGAAGTTACGTCAACAGCACAGCACAGCTCTCACATCGAGCATGGCGTCCCTATCCAAGATGAAAGGGTAGTGACTGATCAAGAATTTGTCAACTTACCTTCAATTGACCGGAACGTGCTTGATCCAGCATTAGGGGATCGTCCCCCGGCTGAATTCGATATGTTTGGCAATGCATCACTTGAGCCGCCCCCATTTGGCTCCGATATGATTGATCCAGCTTTAATCGACCCTGCTTTAACTGGGGAAGCATCTACGGGTCTTTCTACAGCAGAGTCAGGCACGACTGAGCCTGCTCGGACTTCGATGGAGCCAGACACATTTGATCCAGCTTGTATAGATCCGGCTTTGTTGATAGAAGATTCGGATTCACCGATGGAAGACGATGACGGAGGATTCGTTGTAATGCAGTCGCCGCCCCGGAGCGTGACAGGGGGTGCCCAGCCAACCCCTTCACCACCGAGTCCGCCACCCAGCATCAGGAAGTCATCACCGTGGAAAGGAAAAGACCGGTGCACCCCATCTCCAGCGCCAGAACATAATGTCGATAGTCACACTCCAACCTCTCTCGAGTCTGCCAAGGCTAGCACCCCTGTACGACACGAGCTAGACAACTTTGATCTCCCATCGTCGCCAGAGCCTTTCAATCCTCGAATTACAGTACGAGACGCACCAGAGAAAGAGCCCATTTCGAAACCGGAAAAGGCTATTGATCAACCCCCTTCTATTGTCATACAAGGTGGTTCCGATTTCGATGGCTCCCATGAGAACAGTGGCCAAGCCTGTGCAGCGGCAACAGAATACCCGGCAGAGATACCTCTCACAGGAACAGTCGACACGTCAATAAAACTGGTTGCCAAAGAACAAGAGTCATTAGCGAGTAATGAGGAGCCTCTTGATTCGGCAGCTACATCCGTTGAAGTTGTACCCAAAATAGTGGACTCTTGCCAGCGGCTGGACAATAAGTCCGAAAAGTCTGAACAACCTGTTCTCCAGCCACCACAACGAACGGAAAGATACGAAGATGGCCAAGTTCAGACTCTAGCACACGCAAATCCATCACCAAAGAAAATCACTACGCCTCGGACGCCAGAGCCACCTAAGGCGGTTGAAATTACAAATCAAACTCCAGCAAAATTTTCTGAGAGGCGCTCTCCTAAGGTACCCAGATCTGCAGAGAGATGCACTCCTATTTTTCTGGAGTCTCCCATATTTGTAAAGTCACCTACTCGAAGCCCTCCAAAGACTCAAAGCCCTCTGAAGAGGCAACACACGATAGAAAGGCGAACGATGGGAGAGCTCAAGAAAGCCATATTGCAACCGCGGCAAAGGGCGCCGCCTCCGAAACAAGCACAGAAGCCAATGCTAAAGCTGGTCGAGCTGGAAAGCGGTCGATCATCTATAACTACCAAGTCAAGGACGAAATTACCGGATGTTCCTGTGGGCAATCCTTCAAAAATATCCAGGATAGGCCGATCGCCTGTGTCGGAGCCAACCATGTCAAAGTCTAGTGTGTCGAATTCAGCAGAGTGCAAAATATTATTGTCTCAGGGCAAGGCCTCAACAGCTATGAAAAAGCCGAATTCAAGACGTTCACTTTTGTCGTTAGTTTCAGGTGAAGGCAACAATCAAGACATAGACGACGAGGTTGACGAGCTGGGTAATTCGGTTAAGTCCAAATCATCGTCTTCGACCAAGTCGAACTCAATTCTCCCGACGAACGTCTCGCAAGACAAAAAATTGAAATCGACCGCAGAGGCCAGACAAACACAACAGAATTCTTTGAGGGAGAAGTCTCAGAAAGACCAGCAGCCTCAGGAGGAGAAACTTCCTAAAGATAAGGATAAGGGAAAAGAAAAGGAGAACGGTAAGAAGAAGAAACGACGTAACGTAGATGGGTCGCGCTCAAAGTCTGGATCAACTTCTGGTCGTGGCAAGGAGTGTGGCGTTGATGGGTATACCTGTAACAGGGATTTTTGTTTTACTTGTCTCTAGCGTTGGGTCTTAAAGGGGCGCAAATGCATAGGAATGGTGTACTGGGAATGGGCAATATAAATTCAAGTTATTATTTTGAGGCAGTACCCAATTAGTCAGTCAATATTATCACAACTAGAATAATACCGGACTGGTGATGTCATTTCCAATGCCATATTATTATGATGTGCTACTGCTATCGAGAAACCAAACGCAAAAAATAAGCCAGGGCTGGCCAAAACGTCCAAAATAGAACGAAGGCAAAATAATAAATAGAAGGGGGAAATCAAAAAGAGAAAAACCATATTTCTTCCCCACCGCTGCGTTATTTCAATTTTTGGCATTTTTTCTTGATTTTTCCCCAGTAACGCCTTTCGACCGCCGGTGCAAGGTGAAATCGAAACCCGTGACTCCTCCGCCTGCCCTGCCGCTTTGGTGTAGATTTCTTCCTTGATGTAATGTCTCTGCTTCTTGTTCTCGCTGCATGTTGTGTATAAATAGCTGGCTATAGGTACTCATATCCGGTTCCTTAGGGAGTGAGACGTCTGGGTCATGTTGTATTTTTAGACTTTAAACACCAGAGCTGGAAAAGCCGAATGTCGTCAAGTGTGTATATATTGACGTCCTGGGTTGGATGACAGACAGAGGAAGAGGGGGAAGATAACGAGATCGAGTTAAAATGCCTCAGCTAGACAAGATGTCGCGGGAACATGAAATTTCAGAAGCTGAGACCCAAGGTAGGTCTTTTTTGTGGTGGTAGCTATGACTGCCGACTTAGGTTGAGGAGTCAAGATTTGTATGTGCCATTAGAACCCGGGTTAGCCAAATTCTGCTTGAAGATTTCGGGATCCCGGACTGGATCAAAGTAAGGGTGGGCTTGAGCCTCCTTTGCGGTGAGCCGTTCCTGCGCCAACCATGGTTAGAATGAATCGCCCATGGCGTGTTTCTTTGCAGGTTGTGCGGACAGAGAGTAACTTACTTGGTGGTCATATCGCAACAGCTTATCGAGGAAGTCGATGGCTTCGTTAGAGACAAAACGCTGGTTCTCGGACGTCACGAAGCTGTGCCAAGGTTTCTTTTGGAACCGGCCGAGGATGTCATCGTACTGTGAATCTAACTCAATCTCGTACTTGTCAAGGTAGTCGAAAAGCTCATCGGTTCCGAGAACCTTGGCAATTTTAACCAGCTGGTCAGAGTTACTATTCCCGTGGAAGAAGGGCTCTTTGCGGAAGATCATGGAGGCGAACATGGCCCCCAGACTCCACATATCAAGGCTATAGTCATACTCCTGGAAGTCGACCAAGAGTTCAGGGCCCTTGAAATAACGTGATGCGACACGCACATTATACTCGGTCCCGGGATGATAGAACTCGGCCAAACCCCAATCAATAAGACGCAACTAGAGGCAAAAACAAGAAAAAAAGGAGCGTTAGCAAATAATCCGCCTCCAATATTCCATCCGCATGGCTATGTTCCCTTCGATTCAGCCGAACGGACAATCCATCAGAACGTACTTTTCTGTTTTCATGATCGATCATAACGTTATGAGGCTTTACATCTCTGTGCATGATTCCCTTGCTGTGACAAAAGTCCAACGCCTTCAACAATTCGTGAATGTAGAACCGCACATCGAGGTCATTGAACTTGGGATACAGGCTGCGGAAATCGATGTTGTTGACGTACTCGAAAATCAGAGACGGTGTCTTGCTCTACACATACCGAGGGGAAGCAAATCCCATCCTGTCAGCAAGTTTCCACAATTCGCTTTCTGTGACACAAAGTGCTGCATCAAAGGAGGGAAGGAATAAAGCGAAAAGATCTAACCTGCGAGTCTCTAACGACGTCCAACAGAGCCACGACGTTGGGGCCACCAGCCAAGTTCTGCAAAATCTTGATCTCGCGCTTGATCTTCTTCTTCTTGACGGGCTTGAGCACTTTGACGACGCATTTCTGATAGTTGACAACGTTAATGCCCTCGAAGACTTCGGAATATTTGCCGCGGCCTGTTCAGATGGGTGGAAACGAGATTAACAAGACAATAGTGTAACGCGAGACATCAAAAGGAAAGAGAGGACGCACCAATCTTTCTCACGACCTCGTAGTTCTCTAGGACTCCCCAGCCTGTATCCCTCGCATGTCAGCGTTTGAAAGAAGGGCTTTGTAAAACAACGAAGAGCATGTCGACCCACTGATGTTAACACTGTCGTAGTCCCAGTAGCTGCGGGGCATATTCTGGTTGACATCTGCGTAGACACGCGCCATGGTGCCTGTGCGCGACGTGTCGCACGAGTTGCGACGCTGGCGATGTACGAGGATGAGGCGGCGAGGGTTGTGTGAAATAGATGCCCAGCGCAAGACCTCGATGTCGACGTGGTCCGGTGGTTTGGCCTGCGTTCCCGTTTCGACGGCCGCGAGATGGGGTGGTGGTTCGTGGTTCGTGGTGGAGGGCAAAACCAACCAAGGTGGGATGGTCCCCAGCGGGTTCCAGCAGCCGTGGGCCCACTTTCCACTGCCATTCATCCCTTGATTGGCCAGTGCGCCTGCTCTTGCACCAAGCGACAGCCGCCGCAAACAATCGATTTGGTCTCGGTCGCGTGGTCTACTACAAAAACACCAACTTATTCACATGGCTCAGAACGTAGAAAGTTGTCATTATCATTTATCATCTCTTCATGATTCATACATCCCTGATTATACAGCGGAGTATGCTATGGACTTGCTGCTCCTATAAAGATGAAGCCTATAATCCTCTATCTGCAGACCCTTAATGAGGGCATCGACACGCCGTTCCAATTATAGATTTATCGACAGCGATTGTTGTTCGAACCCGCCTTCACCTAGTAGTTTCTAATAACCATTAGTCTTAAGGTAGATTCCATTAAGTTTGTGTAGTAACGCAGTTGAAGGATACTAGCCCTCAGAGAGAAGATTAAATTGCTCGTCATGTCTTGATTTGTACAGCCATCTTCATTTGAACAAGCGTCCAAGTAAATCATCTGCCTGCAATCTAGATCTGCCTAAGGATGACGATACAATGATTTTCATCATATTGTATTAGGCACAAAAAAAAAATTAAAAAAAATGGTCATTCGCGTACCTTGGCATTAGACACTCGTTTATTGTAGGTAGGGCCGTTGCCTTAATCGTAGTCCAAAGAATCCAGTCCAGCATCCACAACGTCCCATGTGCGTTTTCTCAAGTCGGGTTTAGGATCGTCTTGCTTTTCACTCCTTGCCTTCTTCTTCTTTTTCTTGCTGCTGCGTGTTGCAAGGTTAACCGCGTTGTTGCGTTCCATTGAAGTCAGTTGACTTCGTCCTGTCATGCTGCCAATTGACTTTGATGATTTGGCGTGTTCCTGTTGACGTTCAAGGTGTCTCAACTCTGAATGTCGGAATATCTCAATCTGTTCATCCGTGAGAGTGCGCTTCACTCCGTCTTCGTAGTAGCCAAGGCCATCGTCAACCTCGCCGTTCCAATCCTCCCCTGTATGAGATTCGTATGTCTCTTGCTTTTCTGTGGCATTTAAAAAAACAGAGCCAAAATTGGCTACGGCATCAGCAGAAAAGTGGCTCTCATGGAACTCGAACAATTCATTCTACAATCGTCAGCGACTCCAGCACGCCCACCAGCTCAGTGTGTACTCACATGCGAAAGTCGCAAGCTCCCGACCAGGTCTTGCCAATTGCTGGTTCCTGCTTCCGCCATTCTCATGTGCAAAATGGATGCCGCTATGAATATACAAGCCGACCGCAACGGGCGGGAGAAATGGCAACGATGCCTAGCCTTGACTCTCGGTACGGCATCTGCTATTTACATTCTCCGTAGTCCAAGGGAAGGATTTCAAAGATATGTAGCGATAGCTGCCTGGAAAATTCGATGAGTCCTGTGGTGTCGCGAGAAAACAAGGTGCAGTAGCAATGGATCAAGGTTCAAACGGGACGCTTCCAAAAAAAAAAGGGTCACCGACCGTGGCGTCCATATGACCAGACGGTCAAGTGGGGCAAGAACAAGGTGTGCCAAACTACTACTTTTGAAAGCACTCAGGTGGACTTGAGCAGGGCGAGGGCACTCTCAAATGCGCGGACTACTTCCTCATCTTGACTCCAAGGTTAGTTGGTTTAGAAGCGTATTGGCATGTGAAGACTCACAGTGCTTTTGTTTCTGGGCCATTTTTTCTTCGGCCAAGTTCACAAATCGCTGTCTGGTACGTAGCCTCTTCACAGCACGGTCATCATCGTGCGCTGAAGCCGCAGATGCCCATGCTCGAAAGTACTGCGACCCAGTATCAACAAACCATTGCATGGTGGAATTATCAATCATTGAGCACCTACCTTGGCAAGAGCTTCAGCTTCTTTGAGAATCTCATTTTCTTCCTCTTCGGCTTCTTGTAATGCCTTTTCATATCGTGACTCAAAATAATCCCAGTCAAAAGGGGGCACGTCCGCCGGAGGTGGACTTGGAGAAGACGTGCTGGTGTAGTGATGACTTTCCCGCGCCTCTGGTGGGCTATCCTGAGGTTGAGCCGGAGGCTGGGCCTGCGGTCCCATGTCTGATATAGTTACTGTATCGTCGCCACCAGCCTGCTCATCTCCGTCTTCAAAAGGAGATGATTCGCCTGACTCATCGGCTGGAGACCCTGGTGGTGAAGGTGGTGGTGGTGACATGGCGATGGTGAAGGGCGACACTCGGAAAATTCTAGGCACAATTCAAGAGCGACGATGATGCAAAGCGGTTGGCCTTGGATGAACCAAGCGAATCCACTGCAAAGAAAGATGGACGTGCTCAAAGCCGTGAGCAGGCAAGGTCCGACACAATCAAAGCGATCTTTTGACCGCGTCGCGTGCCGTCATTTGATGGTAAGGTTCGAGGCTTGCGCAGTGCATTAGTGGTGTGCCTCAAAGACTACAGCACGGCTGTGATTGGCTGGTAGTAATCACTCTCGCTAGCAAAACATCTTGTCAATGCTCTGGAAAGAGCGACCAAACTCCCCGCTGCACCACCACAGCAGGACACTAGGTCGTGCCTGTCTTGTGGCGTCATCCGGTACTTGACCGGCACACTATGCTTTTGTCCTTCGCTTCTCATCCCGTGAACCGCTTCAAGTGAAGATTCCAGTCGTCCGTTTAGCAGCTCATGAGCATCGCGCGCGCGCAAGTTGGCAAACTCTCCACCTTTTGTTCATTCAGCACTTCGTCAGCCCTTTCCAAATGCAGCCGTTATCTAGTACGTGACAGCCTCTCTCACAGCAGGTGGCGGGAGACGAAGACTACTACTTCAGTATGGAGTGCCATATCTGTCATCGGGGTCATGATGCCCAAAAGCTACCATTTCTCTGCGCAGTCGATGCTCGCAACAGCTTGTATGAGCTTCGCGTAAATGGTCTGCAAGCCCTTTTGGAGAACGAAAGTCTCCAAGGGCAGGTCAATGAATTCTATGCCAACTCGAGCAAGAACAGCCACAGCGACATCGAGCAGTCTACGGCAATGCAGCGCCTAGAGGAAGATCGGACAGATCACATCCTCGCTTCAGCCAACAAATTAAAGGAAGAGATACAGGCAGCCAGAGAAGAAATTCGAACGCGAAAGGCCGCGTTGGCTCGCAGAAGGTCCGACTTGGCATCCGTTTCAAACGGCTTGGCCGAACGTCGAGTAATGCAGCAACAAGAGTTGGATAAATCGACCCAAGTGGCCAGGTTTCGATGGGCTCAGAGAGCTGAAGCCACTGCCAACACTCGGGCGTTTCTTTGTACTCAAGCCATCAGACTATACGGACTCAAGAGAACGAAGAAGTCGGGGTCTGGTCGATACGAATACCAGCTTGGCAGAGTGCCTATTATTGATTTGACTTCTATGGATAGTATGTGCAATTTATCATGTCTTCTGATGGAGCCCTGAAGCCTTGCCCGACCAAGAGGAAGGACTTGACTGACATTTTGCAGCCTACGCTCCAGAGGTTATATCCACCTCTCTTGCTCATGTAGCTCATATTTTGATGCTTGTGTGCCACTATCTTTCTATTAGGCTGCCGGCTGAAATAACGCTTCCACATCGAGATTACCCTCGGCCGACCATTTTTAATCTTAACAACTCATATCAGCACGCTCACGTCTCATTCCCCAGTTTCTCGGGGACATCTTTACAATCTCACCCTCGAGAAACGGACTCCCAACGGGTTCCGAGACCAAGGCCACTGTTTGTCGACAAGTCGTTAACACAGCTCCTAAAGGAGGATCCATCAACTTATTCTTTTTTTCTCGAAGGCGTCACTCTCTTAGCGTACAACATAGCTTGGCTATGCTACTGCCAAGGTGTGTCTGTGGGTGATTCGAGCAACTTCGACGACATTTGCAACATGGGACGTAATCTATACAGCTTCCTTATGAGTGCCCAGGCGCATGATTTTAATCCTATTAATGTAAAGGTCCCGGGCTGGGGGCCAAATGGTGAGGAAGTAGAAGACGAAAGCCAGGGAAATTGGCTTGGTCGATTCTCCCATGGTGGGACATTTTACTTTCTGGGTAATTATGAGGGTACCGATTTGGTTCGAAGTTTCAAGCTGCCAAGTCCGATGAAGCTGGCGGATAAACTGAAGAAGAAGCTTATTGGGGACGCGCCAGCTCCAGACTGGGAAGTTCTAGATGATGATGCCTGGAAAATCGAAGACTTGCCTGGGACTGACCCCAGTGCTGCAAATGCTCGAAATGTTGCGGATAAGTCTCCCGATGTAAAGTCGACACCTCGCTCTGGGACGAATGGCTGGACCAAGGTTAAGCATAGGTGACGGCACACAAGATGCAGAAGCCTCGTATGGATGTAATGAAAGCAGGTGCATCGTTATAGAGTGCCGATAGTGCCGTCTTTATGCATAATGCAACTCTGAGGCCTATTCAATGTCCTCGCGTGTATCAGTCGCGTTCTCACTCTGTTTGTCCGCTGCATACTTAGCTATAACTTCTTATATTGGAATCACTTTTATCGGTCTACGATGGTCTGTCTTTCCCATACCCTCGGCTGTTTGTGTACTGGTCGAGTACTGTCGATTCAGACTTTTCATTCCGTCAGACGACTTCAACTGTTCATCTCTCTCGATGGAACCTATAGACCGAGTCCCATGCGGCGTTGAAGGGGCCCTTCCTGTCTTGTCGTGGAATAGCCTGGGCGGCCGGCGTTTAGCCTTCATATAAGTATTCTTCACTTTCTCTAGTCTCCCAGTCTCGGAAGGTCCTGAAGATTTGGCTCCTAGAATGGTTGAAGTACTCGGGTCGGCAATTAGTTGGGAAGGCGAACCAACGTGCATAAGATTGCCGGCTGGGGAATTAAGGCCATCTATTCTAAGGTGAGCAGGCGCATCTTGGTCCGGCTCCGATGTATGTGTCGATGCCTGCAATGTGGTAGAGTTAATGACGCTCCCACTGGGAAGCACAGGACGACCCATGACCTCTGGATCGACTAGCTTTCTGTACGCCTTATCCTTTGGCTCTTTTGGCGTATCACTCTCTGTGGAAGATGATTCATCCCCATACTCTTTGGGGACTTGAACGGGATTTTCTCGGCCCTTCTGTTCCGAAGTTGATTTCCGTACAAGTGAAAAACCCGACGATGCCTGAGAAAATGGCTGCGGCGCCTGGTCAGGTTCATCATGGTCCAGACGACGGCTCGTTCGTGGAGCAATAGGAGGTATTTGGCTCTGAGATTCTGCCGCAATGTCGCCAACCTTGCCTCTCTGTGGACAAGGTAATTCCTGATCATCTGTTTCTGTCTCGCCATCCTTGTGTGTCTTATAACACTTCTTTCCTCTTGCATCGTCGCCATGAAACCTAACTGGATTGTCTGGACGGTCCGAGCTATTAGTCGAGGGGCCTGCTTCGACTAACTCGTCATTGCTTACCGAACCATTGGAGAGGCTTTTACAGTTATGTGAGGATATATTTTCCTCGCTCTCGCTTTCTTCCAGTGCGCCTAAGACATTCTGTGTACCAAACTCTGCGTTGTATGCTGCCACCAGTTCTCTTTCCAGCTTTTCGTCTTCTTGGCATTGAATTTCTTCGAAATCGAAGCTGGTCTTCCCATCGACTCTTTCAAACCCCGCTTCATTCGGCCGAGTGGCTGATACCAATGAGATACTGGTGTCAAGGCTATGAAATATCTTCCTTGGCCCCTGACTTTCATGAATTTCGGTATTTCTCACAGCAGACATGATTTCTTTCTCATCACCATTCCCTGAAAAAATATTCTTTTCATCGTTTAAATCGGCAACTCGGCTACCTCGACTGACTGTGTCATTCTTGCCCATAACAGCTGCCTCAGCGCTTTCTAGTTTCGCCTGGCTCTTCAGTGGATCAGAATCGGCTATTTCCATGGCCTTCATCAAGTGGCATGAGTCAATTGGGGTCTGCATCTGCTGCGACATCGTGTAGGCAGCGGGTTGTTCATCCGATATTCCAGCTAATGTGACGTGAACCCATCGATCAGCTACCCCGGGTGTTTGCATATCCAGAGTTTCTGGTCCAGAAACATGAACCATTTCGATTTCTTGCTGAGAGTTTGCATCCTCCATATCACCCGTATCCATGGCTAGGTCCTCCATATCATCTATATCCATGGCTATGGTATTTTCATGTGGACACCATTCCTCGCTCCGAAATACATCCGGATGTAGCTCATCAAACATGTCGCAATCTTCCTGAGAGTCAATATTCATTTCATCGCTCTCTTCTTGAAATTCAGGCTCCAGGAAGTCCGCCATGGCTTGGTCCCCATCTTCCTGGGTAATCTGTTCCCACAGTGGGAAGAAAGCTTCATCTTTCTCTTTGTCATTCGAATCAGACCGTGACTTGCTCTGAGATATTATCTCAGTTAGTACTGAAGCATTTATTTTGAAATTGGCATCATCTTCGATTTTTTTGGACACTTCGTTTTCGAATGAGTCGCAACCATCGTCAACAGTAAGTGGTAAATCTTCAGCGGTTGGCTCAGGTTCCGACGTAAAGGGCAGCTGCATCTGTATGGCCATCCGCATTTCCTGTGGCTTTATGATTTCAACTACATCTCTTTCATTCCCGAGCGCAAGGGGCGCAGACCTGAGTGCGAAATCGTTTTCTGCGGTAGGGGATACTGGTTTCTGTGCGGCATATGAGAACTCGTCGGAATCCGTTTGGTGATCTCCAGTGGATACAGGTCCCTTTTCGGGAGATCTATAGGTCTCTTCTGAACCGTATCTGGATTTGGAGTAATTTTCCTCGAGTATGGGCTGTTGCTGTTCTGTAGGGTTGGGTGTTAGCTGAGCTTCTGCCGAGGGTAAGATCTGGACATCGTTTGGCAAGCCGTCCAACATGTCGAGATCCATCTCAGAGACACGCCAGTGTTCTTCCGCAGCTGTTCCACGAGCAGCCACAATATCTTCTGTTTGTGTATGCTCGGTTTTCAACGTGATCGGCCCACTTCGCATCTCTTCATCCGTAGTAAGTAATGCTTCAGGGCTGTCTACATGTTCTTTCTTCCCACAACAATCAGCTGTCAGCTCATTTTCCACATCATCATCCACATCAATAAGCGAAAGCTCTAATTCCTCAGAGGCACGCACATATTCTGTCTGTTGTTTCTGGTCGTCTGGAATCTCGGTAGACGACAGAAACTTTGCTCCCTTGTCAACTGAGGTCTCAACAGTCAAACTAGGCGACGATATACCTGAAGCCTTGATACATTCGTTGTTCGGGCCGCATCGCTCTCCCAAGTCGTCCGTCAAGACTCTTCCGCCCGTACTAGGGACTGGTAGGTCGTTCAACTTGGTGCCCGTCTTACGCATCTTCTGAAGCGTCCATTCAAGAAGATGCACAGGATTCGGCTCATCTGTATGGGAATACTCCACAATCAATATATTCGGTGTCTCTCTTTTTCCGTCTGTATCGGCCGCCAGTTGGCCATCGGGTCCAAGTCGCAAACGGTGAACCACAGGTCCTTTGTGACACGCAGCCCGCCTTTGTTTCCTTTTATCCAGGACTTCGGAGTACTTATCCCAGCCCAGATGCGCATTACTTTCCACTCGTGGCAACAGAGTACGACTCTTCCGATCATATTCTGGATTGTCGATATTTGCATCGACTCTGTCTAGGTGTATTTCACGCAACAAGAGGCGGAAGGCATAATCAGAAACTGACTGCGGAGGTGTAGGCTTATAGCACTCGATGACATATTCCGATAGGCCGATGTCGACCTCAATTGCATCGTTGAAATCCTGGGCAGCTTTGGCATGTATGTCTCTCAGAAGGCTTGGGAAATGATATACAGTTCGGCATAAGATTGGCGCAGCGAACCAATACCACAGTTGATACAAATCGGCTGAGGTAAACCAGACTCCAGCTGGTCTGCCCCTAGTCGTGAAACTGAGAGGATCGTGGTCCGTAAGGAGCACAAGCCAAGCAGTCAGACCAACGAAGAAGGGAATGCGAATGTTCAAAAGGCACCGAATATAGGGGTAGTAAAGCAGTATCCATATTGACATGGAGAGTCTCCAAAGCAGCCACGAAAAGCGAATAACAGCAGCAAGTAAAACTTGTAGGAGAAGTGCGCCCAGGCTGAGTTCTTCTTCGCCTGGTAGGTTTCGGCGTGGCAGGGTCTCTGTCGGTTGGTCCATGTAGAGGCTGTTGAGTAGCTGATCAATCCCCATCACCTCGTCGAACATGGAGCTTTCTTCGTCCCACATCATGTCGTATTAGGATATAATGACGAAGATGACGCAAGCGAAGTCAAAGGATAGAATTGTGCGAGATTACCAGGTTCTGGACATTCATTATAGCTTCGGTCTGTGAATGTCGCAAAGTTATCTTCAAGGGGAGAAGAGAAAAATGCGAAGCGGCAGAGGAGAAAGGGGCAGATATTCAAGCAAGAACATATTTCGGTTTGGGATGCCTGGTCAAGGCCAATTGTTGGGAAAACCAGGCATTGGGCCATGATTTCAAGTTCGAGATGAGTTCAGAGTGAATGTAGAGCGTCTGTCTGGCGTTTGCGCAAGTTCTTGGATAACGGGCCGACAAAGAATACACAAATGCAGGGGCGGCAGCAAACAACATGGACAATGAATCATGTATGGTGGTTGTTCTTGGTGTTTGGTAGTGACACTACCAGTACCGGGTAGGGTCATGTGCAGAGCCTGCATAGAGTCAGAGCTGGGTCAGAGCTTTGACTTCTTCTATGTTCCATGGTCACCATGTCCGAGACCTCAATGGCCAAAAACCTCTATCAAAGCATCAACGCCATATGTTCAGGTTATGAAATGTCATGTTCAAATAAGATTAGACGATGCCCTGAGGGGTCGCCAGGTCGGCCTCTCGACCTCAAACACGACTGGTCCCAACCTTGCATCACACCGAGGCAGCTACCCCTGATACCATAGCCATCGATAGCATCAAAAACTCTGCTCTCAAGCTGACAATATCCAGCATCGTGTGCCAAGCACCACACAAGTTTTAATTTAGCCATAATAGCCATGCTTGCCGCCTCACTGGCATCTATCGATATTATCAGGGTCGAGGCCGGCAAGACTGGGCTCAGGTACTCTTCTGATATTACCACTCTCAACAAAGGGGACGTCGTCGAGTTCCATTTCGGTACCCACGCGCAGTGTTGCCGCCGGCGACCTCAAGAAGCCTTGCACCCCAGTTGCGAGCGAGTTGCGAGCGCAGGATTCTACGCCGACACATCACCTGCGGGAAACGATGTTAGCGGCTGTGAGACAAAGGCGATTCCAGCCCTCAAACCATTGACGGCGAAGACCAAGACGCATATACTTTTCTTAATGTAGTACTGGCCTGTACCCCATCCGGAATCCTTTCCATTACCATCGAAAACACCAACCCTGCGTTTTTCTATTGCGCCGTTGATTCCTACTGCCAGGGTGGTATGACCGGCGTCACTGCGTCAGTAACCAGGATTCTGATATCCTCTATGCGTACAAAAGCACTGCCGAAAACACGAACAATAGTGTCTCTCTACACACTCGGTTTGGCGGCTCAGTGGGCTCCAACGTCATTACAAGCGCAGCGGAAAGTTCATCGACGCCTTCTTCGACGGCCTCGAGGCCTGTTTCCACCGAGTCGAAATCTACTTCAACCGAAGTGGTGACTGTTTCCACTGGATCGGAGACGGCTCTGCTGAGTCAAAAGCTAGTTCCGCCGAAGAAACTACGGCTGCTACTGAGTCAAAGTCCGCCTCCATCACTGTGCTCTCCAACACACCCGCGTCGAACCCGCCAACCTCGCCAACCGCGGGGTCGTCCCGTCAGACGCCGGCAACAGATATTTAAGCAGTACCATCGCCGGTGGAGCTTGTCTCGTTTTGGCTATGGCTGCTATGCTCGTGTAATGCGCGTATCGACCTGCTCCTATAAGGACAAAGGCAGTAAGCGCAGGGGGGCGTATGCTTTCATTAAGCAGATGCAAAGCCGAATAGTTGGAGTGAGCCGGCGAGAGAATAGAAATGCCCCTGCTATGACTGAACTGTCGAATAAGAGCAAATACTTGCCATATCCGTACACATTTAATTCACAACATGACACGCAAAATGGATAATACGAATACGAAAATGAAGTACCTAAAGCTTGTTGTCGAAAATCCACCATGTATGGTGATATAGAGTACTGGACATTCACTTGGAGTAGAATTGATCCTAATTGACCCGTCACCAACTGGTAGCTGGCGAACGACCACGTTGTCCACCAGACTTGCTATTATACCTACATGGGCCCCAGAAGAGTAGTCAGAGTCGAAGGCCAGCCACAAGGCCTCAAAAGGGGTCAAAATCACGCTTCAGAGGAGTCATGTGTTACGTAAAAACTCACCCTCATGTCTAGGTCATCACTCGCATATACGAATGAACGGATACAATGAATGTGATGATGAGAACAATAGTAACAGTAGTATTGGTATGTCGCTTGTATGTCAATGCCCCGTTGCGTATACGTATCCCTAAACTCCTGAATCCCAACAACATATATTTCGCCGTTGACCAACCCATCATCAATTATTACTACGTCATGCTAGAGATTTGCTTCTTGCCTCTCACTATCAATCTTTGCTGAAGTTCAATCAACACGTCGCTCCAGTCTTCCCCCTTGTCTCCCAGCTTATCGCCAATCTTGTTTGCCAAGAACTCTCCCACCTTATTAACGTTGAAGTGTTCACCGTAGACAACCTTGACTTGCGTGGAGATATCGACATCAACTCCCTTAGTTGCGCTATGGCCATGAAGATGCAGTGTTGTCTCAACTCTGGTTTGAAGTGGCGTCAACAGCAGTGAACTGGTTACGGCAACGCTCGAATCAGACGTCTTGGTCACGCTCGTCGGGAAAGTGATGTTTACCGCGTGGAGCTGCAACGTCACAAAGCGCGCCTTGTCCCAAGCGTTGCGAACAATATTCAGCAGATCCAATATCTTTGTCCGACTCTGCGGCAGAGCGCGAACGTGATCTCGAATGCACTGTAAGAAGAACTCCTTTTCTGCCGTCTTCGATTGCAGGTGGCCATCCTCATTATCACCAATATACCACAGATCGATTCGAGAATTTTTTTGATGCGGCTGGAAGGAGGCAATGTCGAAAACAACTTCAATTTCTCGCTTATAAGCCATGGAAAGACTTGTACCCGACAGGCCCGTCACGGCCCAGCCATGTTCTTTCTCAAGGGCATCCACACGAGCTACTTGCAAGTCAGTAAATGGAGATCAGGTCTGGTTGTCATCCATGATAACGGGACTTACATTTGAGAGATTCGACCTCGCTCCCTGTCCAGCCACGGCATGCTTCTCGAATCTTCTCGGATTGTTGAATGCCGATAATGAGACTCTGCTTCTTTGCAGCAAGGTCTTCAGCTTCTGATGTGGAGGACTCGAGTTGACCTCGAAGCTCCACAATGAGTCTCTTTTTGGCTTCAATGTCAGCCTCCAAATCCGTCAACTCGTCTCTTGCAGCCTGAAGTTCAGCCGGATCGCAGTCCGCAAGCTCCTTGGCTGCTTCATCCAGATTTTCACTCTCTTCTTCTAATTGTTCGTATCTTTCCAGGGCTCCAGGCAAAACTGCCGCTAACAAGGCCTCTCTCTCCTTCAGCATTTTTTCATCGGCGTCCATACCTTCAGATATGCTTATAAGGCCTTCTTTGAGGCCCTCTTGCAGTTTCATTCTCCACTCGTACCACATCGCTTTACTGAGCAGCCTGGCATGCGTCTTGACGTTCTTGAACTGATTATCCATAAGTGCTTTAACATCCGGCGTGGCACATATGTACTCGCGGAACAATGGAGGATTGATCTCAAAAGTCTTCTCCTCAATCTCTTTCACCATGCGTCGGCCTTCAGCTATGTAGTTCTTGAGTTCTCTGCAGGAGTGTTGGTACAGCTCCAGCATAGGGACCGTACAAGCACCCGCAATCACACAACGCTCAAGCGACATGTCATCCTCTCCGTCGCCAGATGAGCCATCCTGAAGACTTTTGGGAGCAACTGTAAGGCGTCGCTTGGTTGTTGTCAGTTCCATGAAGCGAATTGATGTCATGTTCAAGAAGTCTTGAAGGTGTATCCTCTCATCATCAGCAACCCGCTCCAGTTCTTCTGTATCTCTAGCATGGGATTGATGAAAGTTGACTTCATGAACAGTTTGATTGTCTTGAAAATTTTGAAAACGTCCCCGATGTCGCGGTGTTGTAGCTGGACCTTTCTTGAGTGGCGAGGAAAAAGAAGGCATTATGTTGCTCCCAGCAGGTTCAAGGCTCTTCCGAGTCGCTCTAGTGAGTCTTCCGGTAGTTTCAGCTACAGACGGGGGTTGCTGTAGCTTAACATTTTTGACAGGACTGGCGTTATGCCCCTTAAGCCTTTTCACTCCGTCGTCTTCTTCAGAATTTTCGTCATCTAATTCTAGGGGTCGCTTTCCCAGTAGACCCTTGGCGCTACCGACGTGAAGACTCTTCCTTCCTTTCAAGGCATTTCGTTTCGGGCTCAAGCTATTAATTATTTCCCTCAAGTTGAAGGTAGCCTCTCTCTTTTCCTGTGGCCCGTCGACTTCACGCTCAAGAATCTTTCGTCGGCTCTCCTTTTCTTCTTCGACTTTACGCTCCTTATCAATCTCTTCCTCCATCGCCTTGGGATCTTCAAAAGCAACCTCTCGTCTGCCCGCAACAAAGTCCGTAGCGCTTTCGCCGATAGAGCTGCGTCTGTCAAGTAATGCGGTTACTTGTGGTGATCCTAGTCCGCTTTTATCAGCCCCAACTCCTGACAAACGACGAGTTTGTGGTGTTAAAACTATAGTTGGCGTTCTTCCTCCAGTTGTTACATCGTCTCGAAACAAGGAGTGTCTTGGCTTCGAGGATTTGGGTGGCGACTGGCTCTTGTCCGATTGGGCAACTCCCTTACGTAGAGGCGTTGTAGATCGCGGGCTCTTGCTTTTAGTTCCATGTGTCGGAGTCCTCGCAGACGCAGGTTGGGCCTTAGGTGTTGAGAGTTTTAGGGGTGATGGCGTTGGTGTCCTGAGCGGAGATGATATAGTGTCTGGAGTCTGCGGCTCGGTGCTTCGGCGCAGTCCTTTCCCACGGAAGGCGGACAGACCAGGGCTTTCACGCTTGACACTAGGGGATGCAGTTTGAGACATTCCAGATATTCGAGAACTTCGCCGAGTTGGTGTCCTTTGCGAGACAGCCGCCATGATCGCTCGCTTTGGGCTATTCGGCTTGTTCACTTCCTCCTCCATTATTCTCTTTCCAAGATTTCGGGAGGTGGAAGCACCATTGGCAATAATTCCCCCAAGAGCAGTCGTTATGTCCATACCCATAGTCTCCTCTCCTTGGGTGGTATGATCGTGCATATTATAGGAAATAATGTTACCAAATCCAACAGTCATGTCCATAGTAGCATCTTCCATTCCGGCTTCTTCCTGTTGATTCAGAGTATGTCGTCCACCAGCATCGGCACTAGATGCGTTTGCTGGCGGGAGGACGCCCCCCATGGCCGCGGTGAATTCCATTGAGAAATCCTCGTTCGTATCAGACTCATCCTGATACACATTCTGCGGCTGATGAATTCTACCAACGGCAGTTGTAAATTCCATTGTTGCCTCCATTGTGGCGTCGTCTTGAGCGACTTGCTTGGCTTTTCCGTCCGACAAGATACCTCCCAATGCTTGGGTAATATCCATAGACAGATCCTCATGGCTATCAAATTCTCTGGTATTTTGCGACTTGATAATTCGCCCTACAGCTCCTGTCATATCCATGTCCATGTCCATGTCCACATCTGTGCCTTCGTCTTTTTGAGTAGTCAAATCACTCGCGCCTTGAGCAGAAGTCGAGGGATTGCTCTTCTTTACCCAGCCAAAGGATGGGATTATCTCTTCGCCATTGTCCAGTCTACCATCGTCATCGTCATCGTCATCGTCATCAAGTCGTTGAGTGCCGGCCCTCTGTGCAGCCATCCTGAGAGCGCGATCAAGAGTTGAAGATTCTTCATCAGAACCATATCGTTCAGACGCGACAGTAGTTCCAGTAATTTCTTCTGTCTCGATTGTCATCATGGTTCCGTCATCTGAGTCACTGCTAGAACCACTGTCTTCTTCAATCTCTTCTATAGCATCAGGCGGCTCTGAGTCAGAACTATAAATGGTTGATGTTAGGGTATCGTCGTCGTTATTGTGAAATTTCATAGGCGGAAGTCCCGAGTTCCTTCTGTTGGACCTTTGGCCATCGGGCGATTTTGCTATTCCTGACAAATCAGCTCCATTGACCGACGATGCTCTTCGCGATGAGTCGGTGGAAGTAGTCGAGTCTTGCATATATTCTATCTCGTGAAAAGTATGCAACGTAGCTTCTGCAGCGAATGACACCCTTCTGTTCGCCAAGGACTTCCGACGAGCGTCTCTTCGCTCTCGCTCATCTCGTTCTCGCGCAGCGGCTTGCTGCTCTTCTTCCGTTTTGAGCGCCACCTTAGAGCCATTTGTGCTGTCATCGTTTGAAGAAACCAGAGATTTCGTTGAGTCTCGAGATTCGCTCGACTTTCTCATGCGCTGACTTTCATTTTTCAGAGGTGGAATTTCCTGCACGGAGTATATAGTTGGCTTAAGAATCGATCTCGGCTTTGCAGGTGCGGCAATAGACTAAATTAAGAGATCTTAGCGGCACTTTCAAATAAATCTCATATACCAGTAGCATACTCACTGCGCGGCGATTTCCTGTTCCGCGTTTCAAAGCGTCGAGCCCTCCAGGGCCGATACTCTTGCTCCTTGACTTCTTGCGATTGTCGGCCAGCGTGCGAGCTACATCGACTGTCGCATTCTCTTTGTCCACAGCGCGCTTCATTTCTGTGCTAGTCCCAGCAGATTTCCTAACTCGCCGCGTCGAAGGCACTGTAGTCTCATTTGAGGGTGCCATCATGACGACGCGTTGGAGCTCGTCACGACGCCGTTGTAAGTGAAGCTATCATGAACAGCCAAATGATGGATCGCGATTCGTCGTGTTTGTTTACTTCCGGAGCAGACAACGGTACGTACTAGCTTCGACAGGTGGGGTCCCCATGTACTCCCGCCACGGTGGATCAGTCCGGAGTCCAGAAACTGGAAAAAAAAATTGATCACGTGCTCGTCTGTCTATCAAAAGATCACGTGAAATGATGCGTACCCTGTGCGAGTTATGTGGGGCTCTCGCCTACCTGGCCAATCCAAATTTTGCAAGCCCTAAGTTTGAAAGGCGGCTGCAAAAAATTGGTGTGTGAACGATTGCCCTACTCCTCCATCGCGCAAAACAACAACTTGCCTCACCACCCTCAACGACAGCCCTCTTGTTACGACACCTCCCCGGAGAACGATTATTCAAGATGTCAGTCCACGATTCTGATCCGACCTGTCGACTCGATATATATACACTTACTCACGGTCGCTAACTAATTTTTCAGGGCCACCGAGTTGACTGTCCAGTCGGAGCGTGCGTTCCAGAAGCAGCCGCACATCTTCCTCAACTCCAAGACCAAGGCCAAGAGCGCCAGACCGGGCAAGGGCGGCCGACGATGGTATAAGGATGTTGGTCTGGGTTTCCGTACCCCCAAGACTGCCATTGAGGGCAGCTACATTGGTACGTGCGAACTGAACGTCCGCGATCTCGAAATCTGAGGATAAGTGGGGGAACCTGGTGAATTGCTATCTAGCAAGGGCGTTTTGAAGCGCAGGGAAAGGAAGAATCGAGATTGGAGACGGCGACGTGTTGTAACGCAGTACGACAGCCCACTAACTATTCCCCGACAGACAAGAAGTGCCCGTTCACCGGTCTCGTCTCCATTCGTGGCCGTATCCTGACCGGTACCGTCGTTTCCACCAAGATGCACCGAACTCTGATTATCCGAAGAGAGTACCTTCACTTCATCCCCAAGTACTCTCGTTACGAGAAGCGCCACAAGAACCTCGCCGCCCACGTTTCTCCCGCTTTCCGTGTTGAGGAGGGCGATCAGGTTACCGTTGGCCAGTGCCGACCTCTTTCCAAGACTGTACGTGGGAGTCATTCCGCTAGATATTCCGATTCTGTGCGAGGCGGAAGTATACTAATTGTTCCAGGTCCGTTTCAACGTCCTGCGTGTTCTGCCCCGAACTGGCAAGGCGGTTAAGAAATTCAGCAAGTTCTAAATTGGGCTCTTCTTCTGGCATTTTTGGCGTGATATACATCAGAGGGGATAGGTCATTCCCACTGGAGGGTCGGGCTCTGGAAGTTGTTTGGCAAATTGGTTGTGCCTGTAGTTGCAGTCACGAATAAAAAAAAGGCTTTCATGAATGCAACAATATTACATGCAAATTGGTTACGGTTCCTGGATTCTCGATGTGCTGTCTTGAAATAATGAGGTATATCAGACTTCTGTCGGTATTTGACGCGACTGTTGGTGGCTGTATGGCGCGGGCAGGATGCTTGGCTCCATCCCTCGACGGACTGTCCAAGGGTACCTAGGTAGTTGTTGCATGGAGCTGAAAGATCCAGGATCTGTCTCAACATCAATACTACACTTGTTAAAACTAGATTATTAGTCTTACTTTCACCAATCGCTGCGTAAATGCCCTCCGCATGCCAACTAGCAGATTCAAGGTCGGTTTATCATGCAGTACTTTGTACAGTGTTACCCAAAATTTACACTGTGGCGATTTTCCCGTACCATGTGCAGATCAACCAAGCATCACGACGGAAACTTTTTGGGCTAAAAACAAACCCACACAAAGCAGTCACGATGGGTTGGTTTCCTTCCATATTCGGGTCGGACAAACCGTCTGATCCTTTAAGCAAACTCGATCCCAAGCTTCGCGAATTCCTCGAGAAAGAATCTCCCGTAAAATATACCCTGAATCGGTCACCAACGTCGACTTCAGCTACACCTGAAAGACAAACAGACGAATCGCAGAAGACAGATAAAACAGAGCCTGCGCATGATAAAACAGCCGTACCATCAGAGAGTTTATACCAAGATGGCCGATACGCACACTTATGGAAGAACTACCGGCCGTTGGCGCAAATCGAAGCCGAAGCAGCAAGCGACCACGACAAGCTCATGGATGTCCTAGAAGGTTTCAAAGAGCGCAAAGCTGCTATTGGCCGCGCAGCATTGGAAAATTGCGCCATCCAACAGGAGGAGTGGGTAAATTGTATGAAGAACGGCAGCTGGGAGGACCAGCTACAAATGTGTCGGAGTCAAGTAAGGAGGTTCGAGAGATGCTACACTTTGCAATCAGTACGTTCCAGAACCAAAATGCCTCTTCCGCATTTATGACTTTTTTCTTCGCAAAGCTAACCAAAAACTTTCAGCGATTCCTCAGAGCCCTAGGATACGGGTCAGTAGCCGGCCGGCCTTCCCAGGTCGACGAAGACATACAAATGCACGCCGACACCTTGTACGACAGAATGATCACACACGAAGCCGCCGTCGAGCAAGCAGAGAAGGACGGAACACCCATTCCCATATTCGACCCTGCCCTGCCAAAGGCCAGCGCGACAAAGGTCGTGCCGACACAAGAACTGGAGAAAACGTGGAAGGAGAAGCTGGACAAGTTACCAGAGGATGAGAGAGTGGTGGAGGAGGCTGCGCTGAGGGCAGATTTGCAGGCCAAGTCTGACGTAGCCAAGAATGTCAAGCAGATATGGGCAACGCAAAAGGAAGAGAGGGAGGCGAGAAGGGCGGACGGGCAGGCTACGTTTGGGGATACCCTCTCTGCGATTTTCGGAAGAGGTGGGGGGGAGAAATAAATGAAACTGGATGGCAGATCAAGTATACTAGGGTGGAATGTATAACATGTACAATACAAAAGCTACTGGGGCTACGACGTAAGACCGGGGTGGGAGATTTTGACAATTTGGAGACCAAATCTGAAGGCACTTCGAGAAAATGTATCCCCTGTGAATTCTCAGTTAAAAATTGTGCGTGGTAAGCTTCTTATTTCTGTTGCCAAACTACTGCTCTGCCATCGTACTCCAACACTGACCTGACCTAATCGCCGTCTTTTGAAACGCCACTTTGTCCAAAGATGTTATATTATAATAGTGCCAGTGTTTCCAACAAGAAGCATGATCTATGGTTCCGCCTATGGGTTGGTATGGTTTCGTGGTCTAGTTGGTCATGATTTCTCGCTAACACTGAATCGCTCTTCTAGAGAGCCCAGGTGTGGGTCCGAGAAGGTCCCCGGTTCGAGCCCGGGCGAAACCATGTATTCCTATTTTTGATATTTAGCATTGATCGCAAAGGATTATTTTTTTTTTTTTTTCCTTTTTTTTTCCTTTTTTTTTAAAAAAATTCTTGTAATTTTTTGTCCTTGATTTTCGAGCATGAGCTGTGTGCTCGCCTTACTCCGTTGGTGTCTATGAGGTACCCTCGTAGTTTTATTTTAGGCTTTGCTTCTTTTCATCTTGTTTCTTATATGACTGGCTACCCTATAGTGCTAAGACCTCATGCCAGGCTTCGAGCATTCACTTTGGGTTGGATTGGAACTGGGACTCAATGGACAGGATATTCAAATTTCCGGTGTTCATTAATATGTATTATCCGTGTTGAGTTACTTGTCGTCTTATCTGACCGCGTTCCCGTTCCTCGTCAACCGATCCGGCTGTTCAGTAGTAAAATGACGCTAATGAACCGCTGTAGCAACCTCAAGAGCCAGATCGCTCTGTGCAGCGTCCGCTTCTTGTGCAAGGAAGAAAATACTGCATCCAAGTACACACACAGGCACGTGGCTCGATGGGTCTAGGTATCATTTGGGTTTATATTTCCTTGTGCAGACAGCTGAATCTCCTGCGAAAGCCGAAAATGTAAAGGGTGAAACGAAGCGCCAATACCATCGATGCAAGACATGGCGTCAGAGAGCCCTTCTAAACAGATTTTATATCGGAACAGCGCTGTAATGCGAAGCAGATGGATGCTGCAGCGCACCAATTGTCAGATATGCGCATTCCAGGACGCTCAGGATCTACGATCAAAAAGTTTAATATTCTCACGCTAAAATGCAGAGAAAAACGAAGAAATGCGCCGGATGACTTCATCCTGGTGCCATACAGATAATCATCACAGAGGCTCCAATACGTGGCGAGGTAAAAGATATTTTGTATATATCAGCTACGCTCCCAAAAAGTCAAGGCTACTGTTTTGAGAGACGGGCAGCCTTGAAGCGGCTCATGGGTTCTCCGCCGTCAGCCTCATCAAGCGGCTGAATGACCGACTCGTCCTCTTTCAAGAAGCCACCATCACGGTGAATGAATTTCCTGCGCATTCGCTGATACTCATCGGCGACTTCTTGGTGTGCTATGGAGTCGTCAAACTCGTCTGGCGCATTGACATTGGCCGACGTGTCTCGCTCAACCAACTTGTCGACAATGGTTGAGCCCTCTGGCCCAGTAGGGGGGACTCGAGGTTGCTGCTGTACGAATTTAGAGGGAATGTCAAAGGGTCCCTTTGTAATTGCGTTACTCGGTACGTTATTGTCTCTGGCCTTCTTGAACCTTGACGGCTTTCGAGTCGACTTCCTCTCAGTACTGTTGGTAGAAATTGTTCGCTCAACAACATCACTGAGAGGTTCAACAACCGGCGTTTCCCCTGCTGTCTTTAATCTTGGTGGTGTTTCATCTTCTGGAGCAATATCAAGGTTCTGTGCAAACCTCACACCCTTCTTCCCTTCGCCGTCTCCATTCTTCCTCTCCTTGATATTGGATTTTGAAGGAGCGGATTTCGATGCTGATGGTGTTGTTTCGGGCTCTCGTTTGACCATGATGCGGCCGATCCCTTCCGTGTCGTCTCTTGACCCACCATCGTCCGCTTTCTGTTCCGCCTGCTCGGTAAAACGGGATTTAATGCCCAGTTTGTGTTCCAATTCGAGCATACGCTGACGGTATTCGTCAGTCACAATACGTCCAGTAAACCTCCCAAATCTGTCCTCGTCATCGTCATCGTCGTCATCGTCGTCATCGTCGTCACCGTAGTCGAAGCCACTATCATCATCTGAGTCGACGTCTTCAAGCTCCAGCTCAGCTACCACGGCCCCGACTTCGCCCATGCTATATTGCAACATTTGCTGTCGTAGGGCCGCATCTTCAGGATCCTCATCTTCTGGGATAACGGGTGTTCCATGACTGATGTTCTCTTGTTCCTTTGCAGTCCTCATTATCCGGTCTACGCGCTTGGCTCTCATCGACATTTCAGCTGGCGGATTTGAAACCTCGACGTCTTCCGAGAATGACACGTTCTTCTTGACCGACGCCGCAGGAAGTGTTTCTGAGGAGGCAGGTTGACGTGAAGCTGCGGGTTTCGGTTCTAATGATGCTGGGCTGGACTTCTTTCCTTTCGATGAGACTATTGATTTTGCTTCTGCTGCTGGCGTTTTTTCTTCGAGGCTGTCAACCCCCGCCTTCTCCAGGACCTCCTTGACCCCGGGTAGAGCCTCCCCAGGTTGGTTGAGACGATATGAGACAACATTATCCTCATCGTCCAACTCCTCTATAATTTCTGTGATGGATTGGCCAGCCTCATCTACAGCGTTCGGTTGGTTTACCACAGCAATAGCAGCGTACTTGTCTTCGGCTGCTTCCAACTGCTTCTCCAGAGTCGCAACATTCTTACCAACGTAGTCGATGCGCCGTTGCAACACGTTGATAATCTGACTTCTAGGCTTCAACTCCTGAATACCGAAAACCTCGTCAATCTCCTTGCCGACCAATAGCTCACCATCAAACTCATCATGGATGTGGCGTAAGTCGTCGGGAGTGTACGGTTCTCTAACAGCTTCAACCTCTTCCTTCAGAGCCTCGTATTCTGCATCCCAAGTTTGCCAATGCTGCAAGGTCTTTTTCAGCTGGCCTATATTTTCTTCGAGTTGCAGACGGCGCTTCTCAACGCTGAGAAAGCTGTCGTCGACGCCGGACATGGCTGTCTTGAAAGCTTCAGTCTTCAGTCGGGCCGTATGGAGCTAGAGGCAGCTTAGGGAAAAAAGTTGCAGACGTCTCAGGGCTGTTTGGAAAACTTGCAGGGGTGGGGACCAGCGTGGATGTTGGGTGAATCACGGGTGAGTAAGTGCCTGGCGGTTGAACGCCGGTTAATTTGGTGCGGTTCACGCCTGCCTAAAACAGGGTTGGCCTCGACTTGTCGTCAACTTGGCACTTGGCAGTGGGCACAGTCTCTCACAGGTTTGGCTACGAGATTGGCATCAGACCAAACTCGGTGTGACGCTTTTCGCCCAAGCCATGCTCAGGTATTCGCATACAGCCGAGGGCGTAATTGACAGGCTATCAAGCCACAGTATTGGTCTCCATTGATTGTGCGGCGTATTTCAAGGGTCGACGTCCGGCCGACAACTTACACTTCGACCAACACGTCCCAACAAGCCGGCGAGAGCACCCATGCCGTGGTCACGTTGACGCATCAAGATGGCTTCCCCAGAAACCGAGTCGCTTGAGGCTGAATGCCTCTGCGGCTCTATTCACTTTACATTTGATATCCCCGTGGCTTCGCTTCCACTGTCAGTATATCTCTGCCACTGCAGCATCTGCCGTCACGCAACCGGCGCGCCGGCCGTTTTCCACTCCGTTCTTCCCAAGAACACAACACCCAATTTCATTCCCCCTTCAACTGAAAGGAACTTGACTTCTTTTAAGCCCGCAGAAGACTGTACTTATGACTTTTGTTCAACATGCGGCTGCCACGTAGCCGGCGTCAGTTTCGACCGCAGGGAATGGACCATCGCGACCTCTATGTTCAAGGACCACGGACCGGAGAAGTTCAAAATCATCTCGCATGTGTTTTCCAAATCTGGCCCTGGTAGCGCCATACCAGCTGTAGTATCCAATATTGATGGCCGAGAAATCAAGCACTGGAACCCGCCCGACGATGACCCAAGGGCAAAAGTGAACAAGCCAACAGCAGAGGCCGGACCAACTGGCGAGGACCGCCTCCGAGCCCAATGCTATTGCGGCGGAGTTTCATTCACATTCGGCCGTCCAAATGGCGAGGTTCGCAACGACACATTCATGTCTAAGTACGTGTCTCACCGCGACAAGAACAAGTGGCTGGCTGTATATGACGTTTGCGATGACTGCCGTCTTGCCAACGGCACTCATGTGGCAGGATGGACTTTTGTCCCCCTGATGCTTTGCGACCCGCCCATCAAAACTGACTTGAAGATTGGAACGGCCAGGACGTATGCCTCTTCTTCGGGTGTCTTGCGATCATTCTGTGGAACATGTGGTGCGACTGTCATGTACTCCTGCGCGGCACGAATGCCTACGGAGGAGCAGACCGTTGTTGATATCGCAACCGGCATTTTGAGGTGTCCCGAGGGTGTTATGGGCGAGGACTGGTTAACGTGGAGGGCGGGACTAGCGTTTGAGGAGGCAGGTGTTCGGTATGACAAGGGATTTCATCAAGCGTTGAGAGATGGAATGAAGGCGTGGTCTGAAGAAAAGTATGGTGAGGCGTTGACGATGACTATTGAGCAATGAGGTGAGATGGTGTGTTTTGTTGCATGGCGAGGGTGCATTGGGTAGCAGGACCGATGACGCGAGGTGAAAAGAAGCCGAGTATTTGATGAGTTGGATGAAGCAAGTGATGAAATTTGCGACGTTTTTCAACATGGCACGATGAAATTGTGGTCGTGTAACGTGTTAGTGGCTCGCCCATGAGCCATCCTGTGAGCTTTGAGCTGCGAGGTCGGCAAGTGCCGCCTTGCCTTCGGCCCTCCGCAGGGCTCCTGCCAGCCCCGAGGGTATTTGCTACGTATTCCACTAGCCCAGTATCTCGACTAACATTCGAAGGGTTTAAGAAATTAATAGGTAGATATCGCGCATATCAAACCCCTTCACGACGATAATTGAATGAAGCATAACAGGGGAGACAAAGGAAGAAGGAAAGGAAAAAAGACCCAGACGAGATGAGCATACATACTCATTGCTTGGCGCTGGCGCTGGCGCAACAAGCCCACTGGTTCTCCATACATAATAGTTACCCCGACGCCAGCACCACACAGCATCTAGCACAATTTGTCTCACCCACAGCCCATCCAAGCTTACAGGCATCAACAGGGTCAACCAAATCGATGCAGAATGTATCGAGAAGGCCCATCGTCAATATACTACACCTCATAGCGCGAAACGTCTCCCTGCGCGCCATGGCAACAGTGAACAGGACCTACAATGTGAGCGAACCTAGTGCCTCTCAATCTCAATGAGTCGACTCTAACCTCCAGGTTTCCTAGGACGCGATTGATGCACTCAACTCACTTCAGACCACTTACGCGGTGATTGAAGAGCGTCGCAAATTAGGCATAAAGCCTGACGCGTCATCTATTCGTGAGATGAGGGCGTATCTCGCCCGGATAGGATACACGGCATGTGCACTCCCCCCCAATTAGCCTCCCAACATCGCCGCTATATAACTGACAAAAGACCTGCCAGCCTGCCGACCTAGACCGTCTCAACATAGTCCACGTGGCAGGGACAAAAGGAAAAGGTAGCACCTGCGCCTTCGTAGATTCCATCCTCTCCCAGTACCGACGCAGCAAGTCCACGCCTGGCAAGACCGGGCTCTTCATCTCGCCTCATCTCATTGCCGTCCGGGAACGCATCAGAATCAACTCGGCACCCATCTCAGAAGATCTCTTCACCAGGTACTTTTTCCAGGTATGGGATCGCCTTGGCGAGTCCAACGCATGCCCCGAAGACGCAGTTTCCGGCTCGCGGCCCCTGTACGCGCGGTACCTCACGCTCATGAGCTGGCATGCCTTCTTGCAAGAAGGTGTTGACTGTGCGGTGTACGAGACGGGCATAGGAGGGGAGTTTGACGCTACCAACATTATCGAGCGGCCCGTGGCTTCGGGAATAAGCACGCTCGGTATCGACCATGTTTTCGTGCTCGGGGATACCGTGGACAAGATTGCCTGGCACAAGGCGGGCATCATGAAGACGGGGAGTCCGGCTTTCACGGTTGAGCAGGTCCCCTCTGCGGCAGAGGTCTTGCAAACCCGAGCCAAGGACAAGGGCGTGGATTTGAAAGTGCTGAGTGTTGACAAGAGGTTGGCCGGGGTCAAGATTCGACCAGATGCCTTGTTTCAGAAGAAGAACGCTACACTGGCAATTGCTCTCGCAGAATCAGCATTGCGGAGGCTGGGCGTCCAAGTCGGAGACAATGAAACGTCATTACCCAAGGAATTCACCGACGGCTTGGAAGAGACGGTGTTCCGCGGCCGGTGCGAAGTAAAAGACGAAGGAGGCGTAAAATGGTTCGTCGACGGCGCCCATACAGCTGACAGTTTAAAAATGTCAGCCAAATGGTTTGCCGACGAAACTTCAAACAGGCAGGTTTCATTTCCCGCAACTATGGTGTCCATACCGAGCACATATGCATCACCCAAGCTAACACAAACCTTCCCAGTTCTGGCCCACGCATCATGATATTCAACCAGCAGGGCCGCACCGAAGCAGTCGACTTCCTCACACCCCTTCAAAAAGCAACATCCCGTGGCTCTCTCCCGTCCTTTGACCACGCTGTCTTCTGCACAAACGTGACATACGCCAAGACGGGATACAAGCGGGACTTTGTTAACCGCGGCATCGACCCCAAGGAGATTGAGACGCTGTCCGTGCAGAAACGCTTTGCGGACAAGTGGAGCGAGCTTGACCCGGGTTCGAAGGTTGTTGTGATACCTACCATTGAGGAGGCGTTGGATTATGCGAGGCGTGTTGGCGAAGAGGAAGGCACCCAGGCGGTGGCATATGTTACGGGGAGTTTGCATCTGGTTGGCGGTGCACTGGGGATATTGGAGAAGGCGGATGCCTTGTGATTTGCCGTTCTTTTTGAGTTCATTACTTCAGTTGGTGATATACCTTGTGTTTGTGAAAGTGTTGCAGCTGGGATCATGGAACGAGCCGTCTATAATAGACCATCGGGCTCTAGAACCCGTAACACACCACCCACGAGGTGCATGCTCCCCGTGACCAGAACCTTGCCATTCTCCTTGTTCCGTACGAGGTTCCTGGCATGCAGAACCGTATCCTCAATGTTATCAAACACCGCCGCATCGCAAGCGGGCACGACGTCCCTCATCGTCTTCGCAGCGCCTTCCTGGACAGTCACATCTCCATCTCCGACCCCCTTCAGCTCATTTCTGGTAAACACGGCAGACTTGAACACCTCCCACCCAGTCACCTTGTTTACCTCGCGCACAAAACCCGCCAGCAACTCGCCCGCGTTCCTCTCCTGCTGGTTAAACACCAGTACCACCTCTTCGCCCTCTTGGACATTCTCACGCAACCAGCTGGCCACCTCGGCCAGGCTCTCCCTCGTATGCGCCCCATCAAGCAGCCACGTTTGTTCGCCGTCGTGAACGACCTCGCAGCGACCCCTCAATGTAGCTTCTCTCAGCCCGCTCACCATCTCACCGGGCAAGTCTTCCAATCCTCCACCGCCCATGTTCAAATGTTCCCTCACAGCCAACACAGCCAACGCCTGGTTCATCTTCTGAAACCCGCCTTTCAAATTCCCCTCGACCCCACCCCACGCCGCAATCTCCCCAGGATCAACCTCAACAAGCGTGGCATTCTTCTCAGCCGCCCTCTGCCTCAGCACGCTCATCACACTCGGCTCGGCCCTCACCGTAAACCCCTTCACCCCGGCCTTCAGTACCCCGGCCTTCAGTACCCCGGCCTTGTGCCACGCAATCTTCTCAACTGTATCCCCCAACATGGCGACATGATCCACGCCCAACTGCGAAATCACCGCCGCGGAAACGGCGCTCGCGGGCAGGACATTCGTGGCATCGTACTCCCCGCCGATGCCACACTCCATTACCACGTTCCTCACCCCCTCCCGCAGAAAGACGTGCCACGCCATAATGGTGAGAAACCTGAAAAAGAAGGGTTTCGAGCCCGGCCCTTCTGCAGCGGCAGCATCCTTGCCCTCCTTCCTCGCCGCCTCTGTAAACCGGTCCCAGAGCTCGAAAAACGCCGCGGCAAATAGTTCCTGGGAGACGGGCTCGCCGTTGATTGCGATTCTCTCCCTGGGACTGACGAGGTGCGGGCTCGTGTACGTCCCCACGGTGCCGTACCGCCGCAGCAGAGAGGTCGCGTAGGCGCAGACCGAGCCCTTGCCCTTTGTGCCCGCGACGTGGATGTGACGCATGCGGGAGAGGTCGTCGGTCGAGTATCCCGCGCGGCCTAGCCATTGGATGACCTCTGGGATAGCGATGGCATTCAAGTCTTGGGCCTTGGCGTTGCTTTGTTCGGGGGTGTTGCCAAAGAGTTGAGTGGTGGTGCGGTTGGACTGGAGCTCGGTGAGCTTTTGGAGGGCGTCTTGGTAGCTGCGGGACATGACGCTCATGAGTCTGTGGGTTCGAATTGGTGAATTGGCCAAGTGAGGAGCCGTGGACTGTGTTGTTGGACGAGATGGGTATAAATATGAAGATCGGAGGCGGCATTGATTGAAGGCGCGGCTCGTGGCCATGGTGATGATGGCGGGGAGACAGCTAAGCGGGGTGAGTTGCCACTACGGAATTATGAAGAGAAGAACATGATGCGGGCACCTAAGTTCGCATGTTTTGGCAACATAGCAAAGCCGTTGTTGATGAGAACTCTGAGCAAGCTCCTCCAGGTGCAAAGGGACTCATTCACATTGTGGGTCCTGGCACAACACATGCCGACGCCTCCATACATCCCTCGTCGTGCATGACTGGAGCTAATATTGAATTTGCAAATGACCTATGAAATCGCCTCGATGTCTATTCATATCTAGTACACGAGTCTATGACCCTTTTTTTTTAACGGCCTGCCCCCACCACCAATATACAGGATAAAGAAGACTTGTAATTAATCTACTCTCAAGCTCTGGAGTCTCGCTTCCGTAGCAATAACCTTGACATTGTGTTAACATTGTTGACAGTCATTTTGAATTCAGCGTGGCATATCGTGTACTCACATCAAGTGCTTGCTGAACTTCCAACACCTTGCGTACCTCACCCAACCAATCTTTGCTGAGCGTCTTAGCCCATCCTTGCAGACTGTTCATTTCTCGCGCGGCCGAGTCCAAATCGCCCTCCTCTAGATAAGTTTGTGTGCGTGTCAGAATACTTTCGACATCGTTGCCCTCGGCAAGACCTTCCTTCTTGAACATGACATGGCTGAGGACCCAGCTGGAGGCGTGACTGGCAACACCTGCGTCATCGGGCAGAAGAGAAGCTTTCCTGACCTCAGTTGCGACGCGGCGGAATCTGTCAATCAGTAGGGATGGACTGGAAACACCACGCTGGTAAGCAAGAGGGTTGAGAGAAGCAATGGCAGCATCGACAACAGGGTCGTCCCTGGCAATCTCCTTCAGGGCTACCAACTCTCGGATAAATGGCTTGGGGTGAAAAGCGTTTTCTAGGCTGGCACGGACAGCTTCGACAGCAACGTGGAGCTGCTGAGTCTTGAGATTAGTGTCCACGACGCCGTTCCAACCAACTGTGAGCTTCTCCAATTCAGAGACTGCCGAGCTCAGGTCTGCGAGCTTGCCGAGACGACCTTCTCTCTCCTTCTCGACACGGTCCTTGACCTCCTGCACGAATTCCTTCTTCAGAGCCAAAGCCTGCTCCAAAAGCTGGTTCTGGAGTTTTTCCTCGTTGAGCTTCTTCTCTCGTTCCATCAACAGCTGGACACGTTCATCGTAGCTGTTGCGGACCGATTTCATTTCTTCCTCAAATTCTCGGCGCCACTCAATCTCTTGAGACAGCATGGTGTTCTCAACACGCTTGATGAGTTCAGTGGCGGCAGCGTCAAACTCCTCGATTGAAGACTTGACCTCGCTAGCCGCCTTCTTCTCGATGCCCTTCTTCAAATCCTGAAGACGGCTGCCGATACGGAGAATCTCATTTTTGGCCTTGGCAATGGTGGTGGAGTAGCGACCATGGGCCCCATCAGCATTTACAACCAAGATAAGGTCGTTGAGCATGTGCACAAGATCTCGGACGATAGGGTCCTTGGCTTCGGAAAGCTGCATCAAGTCAATAGGCTCCAGGGGTGGGAATCGAGACGGCTCGTTGACCTCAGGTGCCTTAAATTCCTTCTTCGAAGATGGCTTGGATGAGTCGGCAGTAAGGTGCTCACCAACAGCCTTGGGAGTTGCCGTTTCGGCTGGCTTGGATTGCGCGGTGACGGGATCGGATGGCGTCTTGTCAGCAATATCCTTCTTCTCGGCCTGCTTGTTCACAGCTTTCACAGTAGCAGGAGAGGCACTGGAATGGCGAGAAGAGGCGTCGGAGCTTTCGGCCACTCTCCAAGAAGCGCCGCTTTGTGCGGGAATCTTGACTTGCTTGCCGGTTTCGCGGGATCGGGAGTCGTGGCTCACGGCATCGGGGAACTTCTTCTTGAACTCAAGCTCCTCGAGGTAGAGCACAGCCTGCTCTCCATATGGAATGTACTCGGTGAAGAAGTCATGGAAGTTGTCATTTATTCGCGAATACCAGACACCACCTGCGAAGCCAACAGCTCCGAGAACCATTAGTGTGAAAACGAAGTTTCGAAGTCTCTGGGAAAAGCTCTTCTTCTTCGCGGGAGGCTTGGTAGCCTCAGCTGGAGGAGGAGGCGGAGGCGGCGTCAAAGGAACGTTGTTGGTTTTCGGGGTATTCGCATCAACAACTTCGGCAGCTGGTGGAGGTGGGCTTCTTTCGGAGCTCAGGGTCTCAGACGTCGGCATCACGGGGGGCTTGGGAACGTCGGCATCTGGCTTTTTAGCATCGGCGTAAGATCTCTGTAAGGCCAATTGGTAGTTATTAGCCGCCATTGATTGTCTGGATCAAGCGTTCGCATTCTTGCGCATGTTTGCATCAAGGTTAATGAGGTCGGTCTTGGGGTTCAATTCGTACCGCTCCAAGCAAACCGGCTCGTCGCGAAGCCGCACTGGGCCATTGGCGGCCGGCAGCAGCCACAATGGGCTTGCTGCCAAGAGCCCTCGCTGACCGAAGCGATGATCGCAACATGAGGTGGGATATAGGCCAGCAGGGCACGGGTTGTGATGATGGTGGAATGAGTGACGGTCTGGAGTTGCGAGTAGGACAAAAACGCTCAGGGCAAAAGTTCGGCTAAAGACTCGAGCACAAACAAGCTTGCCGCACTCTAATCTGGGTCCTGACGTGATGCCGAGCGGCAGGAACCGGGACCTGTGACGCAACCCCATAGTATGCATATTTGACCTTCAGACGCCACGCAGCTCGGGACCGGAAAATGTTTGCACAAAAAGATACAGGTCGACCTAGATGCAACATTTAAAAATGCAAGAAAAGGGAAATTGGATAATTAATCGCCTTGTAGGTTGGGGGTCAGCGTGTTAGCATCGAACCATTGCTCCCGTCTCGGCTGGTCGCGAAGCCGCACTGGGCCATTGGCGGCCGGCAGCAGCCACAATGGGCTTGCTGCCAAGAGCCCTCGCTGACCGAAGCGATGATCGCAACATGAGGTGGGATATAGGCCAGCAGGGCACGGGTTGTGATGATGGTGGAATGAGTGACGGTCTGGAGTTGCGAGTAGGACAAAAACGCTCAGGGCAAAAGTTCGGCTAAAGACTCGAGCACAAACAAGCTTGCCGCACTCTAATCTGGGTCCTGACGTGATGCCGAGCGGCAGGAACCGGGACCTGTGACGCAACCCCATAGTATGCATATTTGACCTTCAGACGCCACGCAGCTCGGGACCGGAAAATGTTTGCACAAAAAGATACAGGTCGACCTAGATGCAACATTTAAAAATGCAAGAAAAGGGAAATTGGATAATTAATCGCCTTGTAGGTTGGGGGTCAGCGTGTTAGCATCGAACCATTGCTCCCGTCTTACCTGGCTGGATGGCTGTCGTCACTAGCGAGTGTTGGCCGCGCAACTGCTGCACTTGAGCACGTTCACTTCAGACGACAGAATCATTCCTGCTACCCCTCACATCTACTTGGGTTTCCTCGGACCGGAAGGATTCTATTTAACATTGATACATGTTGAAACTATTACATGTCCCCAGTGGAAATTGTCCACTGCTGACCCACGAACACTCTCTGACAGTAGCGAGGCAAAGTAATGGAGGACTCTGGTACGGGGCAAGAACAGCACAGATACAACATTGTGCGTGCGTGTTTATGATATTAGGAGGCAAAAGTAAGAACCAAGCGCGAAAAATGTCTCCGAAAAACAACCCTTCCAAAAGAACCCAAGACTCCAAGAGAGGAAACATACAACTTTCTGAGGCTTCCCAGCCGCAAGACAAAGGCTCAGCTCAACCGCCACTGCCAGCCTATTCTCTCCATGCCAATAGAGATCTGACTTGACCTATAAATATGCGTTTGGTGGCGTCTTCTTCCAACCCGTATAAAACCCACGTCTAGCCGCCTCAAGGCGGCAAACGAAAAAAAAAAAATTACCAAAACAATTTAACAGCTGCATGGCCCGCTCACGTTGGTGTTGGCAGTTTCGGGAGCCAGACTGACGCCGGATCGCTGACCGGGACGAGTATGTCGAGGCCCAGCTTGGTCTAGAGGAAGCTCCTTAGCAATGGCAGTGAATAGCTCGCGAACGTTCTCGGCCGTTTTCGCTGAGGTTTCAAAGAATAAGAGATTCGCCTCTCGGGCGTAGGCCGCGGCATCGGCGGTGGGGATGGCACGCTTATCGGGCTGTTCGGTAACCAAATCAAGCTTGTTTCCAGCCAAGGCGATGATGATATCCTCCTTGGCCTGACGCTGAAGTTCCTTCACCCACGCCTTGGCTTTGTCTAGTGATGTCTACAAAGTGCCAGCGTCGTTAGCACACTTGCGTCTAAAGGGCAGGATGATAGAGTACGGGGATGAATGCAGTGAGAGGTGAGGAGACCTGCTAAGAAGACGTACGGATTGCGTAATATCGTAGACAATGACGGCGCAGTTTGCGTTGCGGTAGTACATAGGGGCGAGGGATTTGTAACGCTCCTGTCCGGCAGTATCCCAAATTTCGAACTTGACTGTGGTGTTCTCATCGAGGGAGATGGTTTGTGTCAGGAATGCGGCGCCGATGGTGGACTCCCTGAAAGAGTCAAATTGATCCTGGAGACTGGGTCAGCTGAGTGAAATAATTTGTGCATGGCAGCTCCTGGCTACCATGATGGAACCAGGCCAGGAGAATGGGTTCCCATGTACCTTGACAAACCGCAGGACTATTGAGCTCTGCAAGTCTAATGTTAGCCGCCCCTGCAAGGCCTATTTAGCATGTATTGCATTGGTATTCACCTTTCCTACGGCGGATTCGCCTAGAGACACACTGTTAGTAGGGGGAGACTGGTGAGCTGGGAACATGGGCCTCGTACCAAGAAGAACGAGCTTGAACTGAGCAAAGCGGTTGTTCATACCGCGGGCGCCGGCGGTAGGGCCTCGGGATGACATGACTGCGGTGACTGCCTGACTGGCGAGTTGGCGTCGTCGGTTGGTAGAGTTGAGGTGGCGGTCGTCGAGATGTTGCGATCTGACCACGGCTCAACAACGGAGGGTCTTGATGGGTAATATGTCCCCAGGTTCGTACGGAGAAAAAACAAGCGCGGGCTCGGAAGACACAGGTTCAAACAAGTAGAGGACCGACGCGGATAGTTGTAGGACAGGAGAGAAAAGCTGCCGCCAAAGGTTTGGAAATGAGGTGTCTGGTGACGGCGGGTGATGGTGGTGCTAGAATGCTGGGCCTGCTTCGCGAGTGAGTCGGATCTCCGTTCCAAAGTTCGCCGTGTGTCCAGATTTGCGTACTCCGTAGTTATGAGGCACACATCAGGCGGGAAGCGGGAGGCGGTGGTAGGATTGTAGGTGCTCAGGTCTAGGTACCTAGGTACTTGGATGTGGTGAAGTGGCTTGGCGCCGGTTGCGTCGACGACATGGTACAAAAGTTACGTCGGCATGGTGCACTCCGCCTCATAACACAGTATCTGGCAGCCCATCTTACCACCATGTGAATAAACAATCTGGTACGAGTACGTATAATGTAGGACGGATCTGCACAGCGACTGCATGGGTGGCTGAGTACTTAAGTATGTACAAACCCATGCTGCTGCGTCCGTCTGTCCTCCAAAGACGTGCCCTCTCAGGGCCATGTGGTAGATTGCGGCAGGCACTCAGCGCGTGGAACTGGTTTGGTCATTGCGCCACCGGACAGTACAGACAGTACCAGACCGCACTCATGATAGTCTGGTAAGTCCTGCTCTACCTACCTAGGTACCTACTTAAGTACTTAGGTACTTAAGTATGTCCAGGGCAAGCGTGGAATCCCCAGGTAACAACCAAGGTACCTTCTCCGGACATCTGGATCCCCTAGACTAGGTCCAGCTGCCTGGCGCATCGATTAGATACCATCGATACCGAGGGTTCCTGTCCCTGCGCCCCTCGCTAAAAGTCACGGATACCCGAATCTCAGCTTCGCGGCGTGTCAACATAGAGTTGGCCACGTTTGCTCAACTGCTCACCCAACTTCAGCACCAGAGACTTAAACGGCGAGTTTCTCTTTCTGAGACGCTGATTCTGGCTGATTGGGCACACTTTGTTTTTTGCCTTGCAGCTACTACTTCCCTTCGTCTTTTGTTGCACTCTCCTGTTGAGACGGCTTCCTGCGCTCGCGATGCCGGCCCTCGCAACGCCCAAGTTCCCCTTCCGGGACATCAACCTTAGGGTTACCAACGATGCCTATACATTCACCTCGCCGTCGTCTCCCGATGCCCCTGCGCTGGTAATTGACCGTCCTACAGGTGATATCCGCCTGAGCGACTCCAATCCGCAAACTACCAAGCGGGCAACTCGGGTGTCGAGCATCGCTGGCATACTGGGCATTGTCCAGCTGAGACTCGGTATGTTCTTCTACCATGCTCTTCCCCCCTTCTCCCGGTGGTTGCAAGCCAGAGCTTCACCTCGCTAACTAGAAAACGAATACAGACAAATATGTCATAGTTATCAACAAGGCCCAACCCGTGGGCCGCCTCAAGGGCCACATGGTGTACAAGATCATTGCCGCCGAGATCCTCCCCATGCGTGAACGCCAGATCCACGATCCCGACGAGGATACCTTCATCAGCCTCCTCAACGGCTTCCTCCAACGAGGGCCAATGTACTTTTCGTACTCAATCGATTTGACAAACTCTTTCCAACGCCAGTCGCAAGCTGATACCTCCAGCCCCCTGTGGATGCGAACTGACGATCGCTTCTTCTTCAACAAGCACCTGCAGTCAGACATGATAGAATTCCGTACCCGAGGCTCCAGAAGCCAACCAGGAAAGCAGGCAGCTGTTGACCCATACATCCTCCCCTGCATCTTCGGCATGCTAGAGATCAAGCCCACCAAATTTAAGAACACTCCCCTTACAATCATCATTATCTCTCGCCGGTCAAGGTATCGTGGCGGAACCAGATACTTCACCAGAGGCCTAGACGAAGATGGCCATGCTGCCAATTACAACGAGACAGAGCAAGTCGTTATTCTCAACGACAGTAGTTCGGGCCTGGGAGGCTACGCCGGCAGCAGCGATATGCAGAGCGGCAAGCTTGGTAGCGGTCCTGGCCAGGAGATGCAAATCATGTCTTATGTTCAGACTCGTGGCAGTGTTCCTACCTACTGGTCCGAGATCAACAGTCTAAAGTACACACCAAAGATCCAAGTTCGCAGCACAGAAGCTGCCTTGGCCGCTGCGCAGAAGCACTTTGACGAGCAGATTCGCATCTACGGCGACAATTACCTCATCAATCTGGTCAACTCCAAGGGCAGGGAATGCAAAGTTAAGGAGTCATATGAGCAAATGTACCGCTCGCTTGCCTCGGCGCCCAAGGAGCGTCGTGAAGCCGACACGCTCACCGATGAGAAGTTCCACACCATCCAACCCGGATCAAGAAACCAGGAGTTTGACCGCCTGCACTATGTCTATTTCGACTATCACACCGAGACAAAGGGTATGAAGATGCACAAGGCATACGCCATTACAGAAAGGCTGCGCGAGGAGCTGATAGCCCAGGGCTACTTCCGGGGCGTTGACGTGCCCGCCAACGTAGACGGCAAGATTGACGCCCGCAGCCTCCAGACCAGTGTCATGCGCACCAACTGCATGGATTGCTTGGACCGGACCAACGTCGTGCAGAGCATCTTTGGCCGCTACACCCTGAACCGCATCTTCGAGGATCTCGGTCTAATGCCACGTGGCGCCCAGTTCCGTGACGAAGACCCAGCTTTTGAGTTCCTCTTCCGCAACATCTGGGCTGACAATGCCGACGTTGTTTCCGCAACGTATTCCGGCACCGGCGCCATGAAGACAGACGTCACTCGCACAGGAAAGCGAACCAAACTCGGCGCCCTCCAGGACGGCTGCATCGGCCTTACCAGATACTTCCTCAACAACTTCCGCGACGGACCTCGTCAAGACTCGTTCGATCTTTTCCTCGGCGCTTACGATCCCAGCGCCACCAATGTCGGCACCAGCCTCATCTTTGTCGACAGGCGCCCTACCCTCATCCAGTCGATCCCCTACATCCTAGCCTTTAGCATCTTCATCGTCCTAGTCGGCATATTCACAAAACGAGCCCCGGACGCCAAAGTTCTCCCCATGCGTCTCTTTATTCTATTCTGGAGTGCTGTCGCAGCGTGGTGCTTCCACTTTGTCTGGACCCATGGCATGCTCTACGTGCGCAATTAAAACCCCCCCCCCTCCTAAACATCTAGTTTACGTACATATGTTCCTTGCTAACATAGCGCAGGTCAACTGGCCGCGTTTGAATCCCCGTCCCTTCGCCGTGGACGGCTACACCGAGCACTACGGTAAAGCACGCAAGGACGCTATCATCGGCACATTTGTCGCCCGCCACGAGAGGGGTCTTAGCACGGCGAGATATCTTAATGCGGAGGAGGGCAAGAAGAGGATTGAATAGACATAGACACGTCTTTTGTGTTATCAAAAGGAGCAATCGCGGCCCGTATTTATTAGTTTTAGATGCTCATTTGTTGGCACCTATATTGGCCATAATTCAATGCAATAGACGATGAATCCCCTATGTACAGTGCAAACCACGCAATGTGGCACGTTGACGTACAACTGATTTGGGAATTACAATCGTCATCTGGGTGTCTATTCTCTGTTTCGAAAGTGTCTGGTTCGCTAATGCTCAAACTACCGGCTATGCACCACCAAATATACAAAAAAAAGCAAAAAGGAGCGGGGTATCAAGTTACAACCTCGATGGGAAAAAAAAAAGGAAAGAATGCGCTTGGACGCATGCTTCAAGCCGTAAGAGTATACACGTGATATCCAACATCTTCAATGAGAAGTAATCACAGCCACAAGAGCCATCGGACACCGTTCCATGTTCCCTTGCCCATGCCCAGGAATACTCGCAGGATCATCACCATAAACCACACGTACCACATGAACCCGACGAGAAGCCACTCCACTGTCAACCATAGCGCTCGTCTGATCCATCGTAGACGCCGTCTTCGTCTACGGAGCATCTTCTCCATAATGTCTACCACGACTTTGACTTTAAGGGGCTGACCGAGCGCCAGGTCGCGGTTCGTCTCGTCTGCCAAATCAGCTGCTTTACGACTTTGTTCGGAGAGATCATCGGCAATGCTGGACCGAACGTCTCCGATGCGGTTTTGGAGCTGAGGACTTGTTCGGTAAGTGAGCCGATCAGCAGAGGCCTGCCACCGCCGACCCGAGTTTTGGATGGCGGTGCTGAGGGCACGGCCAGCTAGTGAGTAGAGTTCGTAGTATGCCGTTTCACGATCTCCTTGCTGGGCTACTTCGGGACATATCTTGGCTATGTCTGCCCAGCCTATATTTGCGCAGTTGCTGCCTGAAGATCGACCCGTCGCCGCTAAACTATCTGGACAGAAAGGCTTGTGTGCCTCCTGCGCTCGCCGGTTAATCTCCATTGCCTTGACGCCGGTACTGAGAACCAAGGCTCGCATGCGGGCAATCTCACGGCGAGTGAGTCGAGTCTGTTCTGTAGGCGTGGCTTTGTCTGCGATCGACCAGTGTCTGCTCTTGAACGATCGACCATCGTCTTCTGGTCTAGACAAGCTAAGCGTAGAGTTCAAACGATTGCTTGTGTCTCCGACATCTTCTGGCGCACTGCCTTGCCGTGACTCTGATTCTGAGATATCAGAATCACCCGGCTTGGTGGATCGACGTCCAAGTAAAGCAGAAGACGACGCTCTTCGAGGATCGAAATGAGGCGGACGAAGCATATCAATTCGAGATTGCTGCCGGCTACGATTTGCAGAATCTGGTGAGCCCATATCCCCTTTGCTATTATTCGCGTTGTGTGTGGGATTAAGGTCTTGGATGTGATTGAACTGAGGCATGGAATCCAGAAAGTGCTTCGGCTGATTCTGATGGCCCGCACCATCGCGTTTGGAGGGCATCTGT